GGCGAGCTCTGAAGGCTACGTGCATCGTTGTGTGTGTGTGTGTGTGCCTGTGTGTCTCTGTGTCTGTGCGTGTGCGTGTGCGTGTGCGTGTGCGTGTGCGTGTGTGCGTGTGTGGGTGTGTGTGTGTGTGTGTGTGTGTGTGTGTGTGTGTGTTTGTGTGTGTTTGTGCTTGCTTGTGTCTGTTTGTCTTTGTGCTTGTATTTGGTTGTGGTTTGTGCTTGTGCGTGTCTTGTGCTTGTGCTTGTGCGTGTGTCTGACGCATGATGCCACATGGCATGCACAGACAAACAACATGAACTTTTGGCTCCCGCGTGGCAGCATCCGAAGGCACTACATAGCAGGTAACCACAACATGAACTGAATAATTTGGGTCGGTGTGCGCACGAACCCAAACTAAACCAAAAAAGTTCGGGCGGTCTAGGCTCCCCTCACTTCAGTCTCCCAAAAGCAAGGGAGACTTTTTTTGAGCAGGGACTGCAAAGCACTAAGCCCTGAATCCCTTCAGCCGGGCTACTATGTTGCTAATTCGTTGCACTGTTACTAGTTACTAGTGATTTCAGAAAGCACGGGATCCGAACATGGATGGTGCTGTCAGGAACGCCGAATAAGTTACCCTAGTTGTTAGTTAGAAGTAACCCAGGTCTCTTCTTGCCCAGTGCTCGATTACTTACTATATATATATATATACACCATAAAGAACCCCAAAACCCTATTCTAATTACTACGGCCCCTACATTGCTCATTTCCCAAACTTTATCCCGTCTCCAGGACGAGTGGCTGCGACGGTCAAGACCCAGTTGAAGCGCTCCCCACGAGGCGCACAGATCAGTGCGCTTCCCAGGAGCTCCTTGGAGTTCTGGTTGATGGCCTGACACAAACAATGCGATTGTAATGATGACATTTGCTGAACACATGCAGCAAGAATCTCCATAATAGTAAAGAGCTCCTCTCACTACTGTTGCTATTCTAACTACGGTGGTAGTAGTAGTAGTAGTAGTAGTAGTAGTAGTAGTAGTAGCAGTCTGGTCTTAGTACAAACATCAACATGTCTGTGATAACTTTCATCTAAGTTGTGTCTTCTCATACGTGTGGTTATTTGTCGTCCATATTATTGCTATGACTACAGTTGAGGCGGTCGCCTACACTTTTCAAGTATCTTTCAGCAGCCCTCGCCCCAGCCTTCATGACAATCGTGGAGCCCTCCTTGATTGTCCGGACCAGCATTCGGGCCATTAGCCTGGTATGCAAAGCACAGACTCCGCAGGATTGTCGCTCGCAAGCTAGCTGGATAGGCACAGTAACCCCAGCGACCATGAGAAGCTTTCGATAATGGGGGGATCATCCACACGGTCTTTCACCACTTCAATGAAGGCGTTCACGAATGGGCCGAAGAACTCCTGAGCATGCTGGGCGATCAAGCGCGATCAGCTTCAGATGCCAGCACAACAACCAGCCTGATCTGTCATGGAACGTCTTACACGCACAATGCTCTTCTATGGTGCCAAGCAAGACACCGTGGGGACAGCATAGCCGACGTGACGCAGTCCGAGTGCTGAAAGCTCCTCAACCATCTGGTACGGCTCCTGAAGGGAAGCAGATTCCTACATCTCGTGCCGGCGCAGCTGAAACCAAATCTTGTGAGAGTTTGTGTTATTCTCGCTAGCGGACTTGAAGAAAATCGAAAGGCGGCAGTTGCCAGCTGCAGTGTCGCCAAAATTCAGCCAAGATGTTCTACAGCCTAGTCCGCAAAAGTGCGCTAGGCCCAGAAGCCACGAAACAGTCCTGGTACAGCTCCTCACCTGACAGCGTCGTGGTTCTGACAGCATCGCAGTTCATGTCCTCAAAAAGCTATTGTAGATTGCTTTAAATCTCAACTTTCCGATCCAGATTGACTAGCCTCATCTGCCAAGAAAGCCTGAATGCATACCATGAGGATCAGCACGGCTGCACAAGCTGGCTGGCAAAGGCTTGAGTCCAGCTGCTTACTCCCAGCCCGACCTCTTTCACAGCACCCAGGAGAGATTACCAAAACCAGCAGTGGAAATAGAACAAAAGCATACAACAAAAGCAGATTTACCCCCCCCCCCCNNAAAAAAAAAAAAAAAAAAACACTGCACAATTCAAAGGCAGCGACCTTGTCAAAGACAACACAAAGCGGGGGCTCATGTCGGGCCCGATAGCCCAGGTCCAGGCCATTGGGGTTTCTCGTTAGCGCAACTTGCCGGGCAACGAAGCACCCCGGCGATGATGGAATGATGCAAAATAAATATAAACCTGCAAACAAGCCGCTCAGTCGCATGACAGAGTCGGCAATGAAGTGCAGTCGAGTCCTTGACTGCTTCATGTAGTCCTGACCTTGATCTCAAGTCACTGGGTGGCTGGAAAGACACTTGCAAACCCGACCACTCACCCGTCACGCATTCGTCGGCTGGCGCGGGGTCTGACAATTGAGAAGACGGCCAGCAGGCACGATGGTGAAAAAGTTACCTGGGTTCCACGGAAACACATGTTGGCACACCGGGCTTTCTTGGGGCCAAAGCTACCGACTCAAGCCTCTTCCGTGGATCTGCCGCACGAACTTCGACAGTTCGGGTCTGCGATGCTCACAGGCTCGGATCTCGATGCTGACACGTCAGGTTAGTCTATCAACGTTTTGGAGGCCAGCGTGCAGCAGCTTCGGGGCCGCCTACTCGACGAAGCATGTCTCTCAGAACAGGAGCAGTGCATGCTTCCACTATCCAAATTTAATATTCTGGACGTCGCCCTTCCGGAATAAAATCTCAGCAAGATGCGGTAGACTTCCTCTCCAATCTCTTGCCGCGCTTGGTCATCTAAAGAGGACATATAGCGCGACAAGATCCTGGCCTCACGCGCACTGCAGCCATGCTAAGCAATATGCATGCCGGACACATGCCCTCATCAAGCAGAGTCACGCAAAATCTTGTCGTGAAGTTGGCCATGCCATTGACACTAGGCGCTCACCCCAGGGTGTGCTCAAGTTCTCAACCTGCAGCCGCGACACCCTTGCGGCAGGCTTGCCCAACTCTTCGTTCAGAAGGCTCCTCGGATAGTCAACAGACAAAAACAAGCCCGATAGATCCTGAGACAAAGCTTTAGGAGGGTCGCTGCACGCTCTCCCACAGCCAGCCTGAGTTCGACATAGGGCCGGAGACGGGAGGACAATGTGGAATTTGTTACAAGTACCACGATGTTTCTTTCTGATGGACACCAAAAGAGCACGTGCAAATTCAAAGCAACAGGAGGTTCACCGTTGGCAAGGCCAAGGGGCACCAAACCTCTTCGTGTGCTGATGTCCAGTCCTGCGAAAGCACGCAAACGTAAGTCAATACCGAATCAAGAACATTTTGCGGCATTCTTGGGTATTAGAGTTGTCCTTCGGCAGGAGTGACCGGAGGGATGCAAGCATAACCTCAGCAAACGCAACTTATCGCAGAGTGAAGAGCATGAGCCAAGCTGCTGGCTCTTCCAACAGCAACTGTGTCTGTGTGTTCGCCTGGATACGCGTGACAGTTTATGAATCTAATCTTTGTAGGCTTGGCTTCATCCGGTTAGCTTTGCATTCTGCGCCGACAGAATACACCCTTTAGATCCAGAAAGCCGGACCCTGCAAGCCATCCGAGAGGCAGCTTTGAAGTCGTCGAGATTGATCTCGGTGTCCAACTTAGAGATCTTCAGGACGAGAACATCACTTTCTTCCTGCCAGAGCTCTGAGAAGTGGGGCGTGAACCTCCCGCACATTCTGCCTGATACGATACACTTTTGGGTCGAGACTGTTGCCTGAGAGCTCACATTACGCATGTTAATGCTCCAGCCGGATTGTCCTGCAGGCGATAGACATTGGCAGCGTTGCACACAATGTCATCGAAGGCATCCAGAATTTCGAACATCCAGTCCTAAAAGGGTGTGAATGGACCGAGCGACCGTGCAGAGTGGCTGCGCGCCTGCAGCAGGTCCATGACGGCAGCATTGAAACAGAACATGTCCTTAGACTCTGCGAGGAGGCGCAGCCGATGAATACTGCGCCGCTGTGCGATCGGATCCAAGATGCATAGAAAGTCTTTGGCACATGCTGCTCCTGCAAGGGAGTGTCCGACGGCTGATAAGAACATGCTGGCCCACTTTTTGAACGCCCACGGTGATTCCAAGACTTCACGGGGAAGAATGCTTGCATATTTTGCAAAACTACATCAATTGACCCTCGTTCTGGATGACTGACCGGCCTGACGGCGTCGTCGCTCTGCCATGCGCTCCTCACCGATGTACACGACCTTTGGTGACCGGATACTACCCTAATTGCAGATGCTTTCGCGGTGACACTACGTCCCTGCCGCACCTCTTCCGGCACATGCTCATCCATCTTTTGCTTGGTGAGCTGCGCTGTGTCCTGCACATCCAGTACCTGCACCCTGTTTGCATGGCTCCATGGAAGACCTCAAGAACTGCGCTCCTGAGGCTTCTTCTCGCCGGACGCTTTTTTGACCTTGTCACGGTCTCTGTTCGCTTCTGCCCAGCTGGTTGACCTGATCCATGACTACGTTCGGTATGCCGCACACGCTTTTTTGGTGTGCCATGGGGAATTGGATTGGACAGCGAGCCGTACTTCTGCAAGTCAGGCACAATATCTGCAATCGCTGAGAGTAGGTGGCTCGTATGTATAACAGCGCTCCACCTGCATCATCACCAGCTGCAACATTCGCTAAATTCCCTAACTCCAGGCACTTCCAGTCTGGCCTATGTAGTTGAGGACCTTGATAAAGCTTCCCAGAGCTTGCCGTGAGTGCGATGCAATCACTTCGCTGGCTACCAGTTCCACCAGCGCATCGCGAATTATCCTTGTTTGCTCTGCGTGTCAACGGCCATATGGAACACTTTTGCTCTCTTCTCTACGGACACAGCTACATCAGGGATTTCTGCTGCTGCAAGAAAATGCCGATCAGCAGCCGCACGCGAGAGCCAGTGACTTCAAGATTGAGGTGCTTGAAACCTGGATGCGGATGCCAGGTCACACTCGTTGCAATCACGAGCACAGCTCTGTGCACCCGTGGCTGAGGCTAACTCAAGCCAGGGCCTTTGCCAAAAGGGTCCCACTCACTCTGGTTTGCCGTCCCAGTTCAGACTCGGCTTGTTGGAGCTGTTTCTTTTGTGAACTGTCACAGCTGGTTGGCGGTTCCTACGAGGTTCTTAGAAAGCTGCGGCTGCAACAGTTGCAGGTACACGAGATTGGATGTGGCTAGTACTGTTTCGCGAAGCACAGTTCCTCTGGCATGGTGTCACAAGATGGCAAATAGTCTCGCGCTCCCCGAACATGGGCGTGACCACTGCTCGCCACTGCACACGTACATGAAAAAATCCTCCAAAGATGGCATGAAGGCAAGGACAATCACTGAATGCAAGCACGCAAGAAGCGCAGCACCCCCTTCCAAGAGCCATATTGCCACTGCAGCACGGAAAAGCTAGCGCGTAGAGAATGTGATAAGACAGTCCCAGGGGCCGAGGACGTCCACCAACTGTTTGGTCTGTTTCGGGTTCCGCAAGGACTTGATTATCCTGAGCAAAAGCGACGAATGAAAGCTTTGAGCGGAGCGTCGAGAAGAAGAAACAATCAAAATCCAAGGTTCTGGTTGATGCCTTCTTGAAGGCGCATTGATGCAACAGCCCTGGCACAAGGATAGCATGAACATTTGAATAAAACTCTGCAACTGTTGAAATGTTGATCACTCACTCCTGGCCTTGGCAGCTTAAAGAAAGTCCCCAGAGTGGGCGATGCGTCAAGGATTGCATCAAACATCGCCTGGATCTGAACGGCACTTTCAGCATCTAACTGTCCGGAGATAAGTTCCGAGTCGACACCGCAAACACGTAGCAGTCGCAAGATGTCGCAAGGCAGCATGAACACCCGCCGGGCCTCACCAGCTGCCTCTGACGAATCATAGAATGAGTTGAATCGACTCCACACTTCTTGGACCTGCTTCGCCTCCCGTGGAACACCCGCTTCTGGCGACACTTGACTCCCTTTTTGTTGGGATCCCTCCTCGTGCTCCGGCATGTCGAGCTCCTCGAAAGACCTTTGCATGAGGAAGGTGGGAGAGCGAAATACACCAAGACTCGGAAGTGGAGACCGACACTTCGCATGCAATGCCGGCTGACGGCATGATGTTAAAGTCACCATTCAAGCCGTCTACTTCTGCATCTTCTCCACCAGCCTTGAGTTGGCAATGGCGACTAATTAAGGGCTTGCTCACGCAGTGTACAAGTTTCGCTCATCAACAAAGCTTCTTTCATGCTTCCGTGTGACGGCCGCGTCCAAAGCAGTCATATGTGCTGCCTGCACGCTCCGAACCCCTTTTCAAAGCAGTCCTCCCAGCCCAACTGAATGATTTGCAGTGCGACTTCCCGCGCTTAAACAATGCGAACTTGACCCGAAAGACGCCGCAAGATGCCTGTGCGTTCTTGATGTCGCTCACCAGCCGTGAAAGGCGGGGCTCGCTTCGGGCTGACTGGGTCAACTTCGCCAGGCTCTGGGCGGAAGGAGTTGCTCGGGCAAGTTGCGCCCTCCCTACCGTTTGCAATGGAGGTTTGCTCAGAGAGACATTTTTACAGGTGGTACTGGACTATGAAAATTCTGTCCTTCCCAGCGAAGGCCTAAGGCCTTGACGGTCGCAAGCGGATCCGGGACGGCTGAGTTCTCTTGCAAAGAATGCAGAAGGATCTCAGAGACAGAGTCCACCGCCTCAGCTCAGGCATCTCAAAGCACGGAGTTCCACCTCTTCCTTTAGCTTCTCTCATCTGGCCTGCTGGCTTAAAAGGCTGGGCGATATCGCTATTGGCGCGGAGTCGAGCTCCGACAGCTTCTCAATCAGGTTGGCGAACTCCTCGAGCCAGCAGGCACATTCGGTGCATTTTTTGTCGGGGGAACTCGCTACTGAGATCCTCAAGTTGCACAGAATCCGCCATAGAAAACATCCACATGGAGTTTCTACTTTCCGTGTGTCAGAGAAGTAAGATCATGAACCAATGCTGGAAACATGTGCCACTCCACACCGCGTTACCGGCTTCCTCCAATGCCTGGTCTGAGTGCTTCTGGTCGAAGAGACCTGACACAAAGGAGCAAAAGTGCCTTTCAGTGCTGTGTCGCAGCTGTAAGTAACGCGTGGATTATTATCCTACAAAAGATGGTTGCCAGCATTGCCCCCACGGTAGTTGCCACAAGCAAAATGCATCCAAGCTGCTTGCAAGTTGCGTGTTCTCAGAGACTCTCAGAAACCTGCAAGTAAGACAGTGCCGAAAGCCGCAAGCACTGTTGATGTTGGAATGTGCGCCGGGTGCATCATGTGTAGGTAACTTGGTCGCCGCGAGCCTAGGCTCGGGCTCTGAAGACAAGGCACAACATCTCGGCGATCTCCAGAACGGCTTCCTCGCCTTTTGCCACCTGAGCCAGAGTCAACCCAGTCGTCTCAGAAGTAGCATCTGTTCAACGCAATTGGCGAGGCCATTGGGGCCACTCATGCCGAGTACTAGTGGCACATTCTTCCCTCAAATAGAAAGGAACGCTGGAATGCAACATAACAATGTCTTCACTGGCCTTGCTGGATGGCTCCGTCATGGCCTGGGCTGCACTCGATGCACGGCTCAAGGCAGTGCATGCAGCGTGCATGCCTTTGAAAATGAAGGTCGCAAAACCGACAACTCTTCTTCCACGCCCATGAAGTTCTCAAGAAACACAGCCATTTAAGCGGAGCAGCTGTCGGCTCTGAGGCCAAGAGGGCCGTCGGCACGGCGGGCCCGGAGTCTCTAGACTTTTTAGAGGCTGCAAGCCAGATTGAACTCACTAGTGGGTTGAAGCTACCTGGACCGAGTTTCCCTTGACTACCCGTCACTTGTCCGTGTTGTTTGGGGCTTTCTGGCATCTGCGTCCCCACTTACAGCGTGCTGGAAATGTTCAGTGAGATCATGTCGGCCCGACGGAGAGGCCTTGACTTTTCAACAGGCCCCTCTGTTAGAAAGTCGGCACTGAAAAGCCAGAACAGCAGTGGGGAGGGCAGCAGTACAAGGCTTCATCTTACTTGAAAGCTTCGTCCCGGGAACCAGAAGCTACTACACTTCTGCGCGATGCAAGACCGGAGTCAACTTTTCGGCAACGGGCATATGTGTTTAAACATGATGCCGACAGTCCAAAAGGGCCTTGTGATCCCACCAGGCCTGAGTTTCTTAACAGGACAAAAGCATCCCGCGAGCCTGCGTTATCTCGCTAAGCCGCTCCGACAGCACTCCTCGACCGGATTCGGGGCTGGTCTGTGGTTGCGGTGATGGTTTCAAGCCCAACATCACTATTTTGAAAAGCCGGCTTCTATGGGGATTGAGAGAATGATCATCTTGCCTTCCGGCGGCTCTTCATGTGAGACCTGAGCTTTAAAGCGGTCTCCGGCAACTTTGTTGATCCAATGATCCAATGATGCAGAACCGGGTGCTGGCACATTCCAGCGCCGAAGAATGTCCGACATCTCTGCGCATTGCCGCAGTAATGGCGGCAACAACCTTCCCGGCATTCGAGCAAACTTAATCGTTGTTTTGCTACATTTACTCAAAGGCCCTGGCAGACTATCCGCTGTGCAGCGACTGCTTTCCCACTGGTCTGCGCAGGAGCTCCCTGCACAGGCAGGAGCACCAACACGTGCCATGTAGCCCACACCAAGCCACCGCTGCTGGCTCTTTTGCGACTCCGAGCCTGCCAGACATCTCACTGAGAGAGCTTGCGGTCTCAGAACTGTTGCTGAGACCGAATTAGCACTGGATCCTCGCCCAGTGTCGTGGCTGTAGTATACAAAACACGCAACGTGTGGGGCCTTGAAGCCGTGCTGCCTGTCCTCGTTCATGCCCTTTGCTCCTAGTCATTGTCCGTTTACATACACTTTAGATTCCTGTCGTGCCAGGACGACTGGTGCTCTTCAAAAGAACTAGCTGCATCACAGAGCCCGGCTATCTTGCCCGCAGTCGCATCGGTTCATTCTGAATTTGCGAAAGCATTGGCTGCAAAATGCAATTAGTCAGGCTCTCATGCCTCAACTTCTGTCAGCTCCTTCATGGGCGCATGCGCGAACGATGGCGTCTGTGCATTGCCATCGTTTCGGCCACCTCCGACTGCGAAATCAGTGCTGAACTTGAAGTACTTGGGCAACAGGCAGCGGAGCCCGTGCGTGCTGCAGCACATGTTGGGAGCCACTCTGTGATTGTAGGTGTAGCCACTTGGGAAGAGGGAGCACTTCTTGTAGCAAAGACCATCGAAGAGCTCCTCGTCAGTCAAACAGGCGCCCTCGAAGTTGGGACAGCCTTTGCCTTCCTGGTCTCCTGCGACATCGAAGCCTGAGCAGAAGCTCAAATGAACCCGCGTGTTTTGAAAACCACAGGGCTCCGCCTCACAGCATGAGAAGGGGCTTGTCCTGATTGGAAAGTACCCACCTGTAAGATCGACGCACTTCTTGTAGCAAGTTCCAAGGATCTCCTCTTCGTCGCTGGCGCACTTGTTACCATCATTTAACGATTCCAAGGGAGCAAGCTCACTGTGCAAAGGCATTTGGCTCACGTTCCCTGCGAGCTGAGGCAGCTTCGGACTGGGAGTCGTGGAAGTAATCCTTTTCTTGGCCGTCGCCGTAGCAGACAGGAAGTGAGCAACTCTTTTGAGGGAGTGGTGTTCCGCGCTATCCGGATCCAGCTTCGATGCCTCACTCATAAACTCTTTGGCCACATCATCCATCTTCGAAATGCGGTCCGCATCGGTTCCGCTGCTTGCAGGAGCTCTCTGAGTTTCCTCCTGAGCATTCGTAGAGATGATGAGACCGGGTCGCGGAGCTTGGGTTTGGGCTTTTTCAGTCGTAGTCGTAGTGAGGCGCACGGAGCTGGAACTGGAAGAGCTGCTGTGAGAGCTGGGAACACTGGAAGTCGTGGCAACAGATGCTGCAGTGGTCTCCGCGATCTCCGCTGTGGTCGTCTTAGATGCCTTGTGGGAGGCGGAGCTCTCGTACTGCTGGTATGCCTTGTGCCCGAGGACTTCCTTCCAAATGGAATCGTCTTGCAGCTGGACCTTATGTTCCACACCTGCTTTCAAGCCAGGACCGGTACCATGAGCCAGAAATGAGACTGTAAGCACCAAGCTCAACAGAAAGGCAGCCGCCAAACACTGCCATCCACACGTCCGCTCTTGCCGAGCAGGCTGCGAAGTGAGCAGCCCGTGACTTTCCAAATCGGTGGCACCCTGGTCCTGATCGACTGTCCCGGTGTAAGCATACATGCCGCGTCACCAAATCGCAGTGGAAACAGCTATATGTGAGAGTCTCGAGAAGCCCGATGCTGAGGAAAAGAACATGCTTCAAGCCCCGTGTCCGCCTGCGCATGACCCAACGAGCCTAGGCACAATGCGGCTCTCTCCGGTCCGTCGGCCTTCAACCTCACACTTCTCGAGCAAGTCGTCGGCCTGGGACAGAAATCCCAACACAAGTACCTGCTAGATACCAGGGGTATCTTGCATCCTGACGGTATCGCTGCCTTTGCCAAAGTGCTACGCTGAGGTTCAGGCCGGTGCCGGCCATGTTTGTGGTGACAACCATCTTGAGCCAGACCGCCTCGCTGAATCATAACCATGCAGACCCAGGAACTTGAACTTGCCGAGAGCTGACACAAGTATGCCTCTTGTGTTCAGAATTTAAACAGGCAAGATGAAGCAGGGAAACTTGCAACTACTCGCAGCAACTTGTAGATACTCAGTGCCTAGCTTGGCGATCTGCAAGAACTCAATCGCGGCCGTCCGACACGTAACCTCTTCCTGTACAACATCTCTGGACAGATGCAAGAGTTTCTTCCAATACGTCCCACTAAAGACGCTTATCCTGGACCATGGAGACGGCCGTGTCGCCGAGCTCTGCAAAAACCTAAAAGTAACGCTGGCAGCCGCTGCACTTTGCGGGACAAGATTGGACTTTAATAGCAAGCACTCCTGGGCTTCGGGCATACGTAATCGTAAGAAACCCAAACCGTTTGCCAGTGCCTTCCATTCTGCAGCCTCACAGCCGACAAACCAAAGGATGCGCCAAGCCGGCAGAAGCACAAACAGTCCGCGGTGTTGAAACCCCAAGCCCAAGGATCCCATTAAGTGCACAAGTCTGCCTAAAGACAAAGACTGTGCCTTCATTCGACGAGCCTCGACTGGCAGCAGCATCGCTACAAGCAACCAGCAAGGTCGTCAACAACCAATACTCTCGCAAGCCAGTCCAGGCGGTCTTTACAGCTCTAAAACTGCTGAAGATGTAGGTTGCAATACGTCAGTGCTGATCACGCTCACCACTAAGCCGCAGCCGAAGTCAACCGACCAACCCGCCATGATGAACACCTGCTGTGTCGATCTACGACATACTTGATGCAGCCTGGATCTACTGCCTTCTGTTTCGCTGCTGGAGCAAATCACAGAATCTGTCGAATCGCGGCGAAGAAAGCAGCCGAAGACACACCGAGACACAGGAATAGTAATGGGATGAACTCCCTACCGCTCGGATCTTCATGCCTGAGAGTACCATGTTAAGAGACATGCACAAAAGCTGAGGAATTCCCCGCAATGCAACGCTTGTGTCCTGCAGGACCAGGCTGTAGCCCGAGCTTTGAGGCATACTCCACCAGATCCTGAGCAGCTGACTCGGATTAAATTACTAGCAATAAGAAGAAGATGAATAATAATAATAATAATTAATAATAATAATTAATAATAATAATTAATAATAATAATGAATAATAATAATAATAACAATAATAATAATATTAATAATAATGAAGGGTTTCCAGAGATTTGATTCATTGGATGCTCGTCTACTCTGCTGGTCAAGTCTTATGTGTTCCGCGCAAGCACCCTTCCTGAGCCCCGGGCTGAAATGCAAGGATGGCACTGCAGGCCTAACACAAAAAGGGAATGTGCTGTCACGTGGGTGCTTGCGCCAAAGAACCAGCGACTGGCCGAACCCTCGTCCTCTGCAGGTCTGCACCAACCGACAGGCAAGCAACCGGGTCGTACTCAGCAAAGCAAGATCCCTCGTTCAAGTCGGTGGCCCATTCTATTCTGCTCCATCTCGTATGCTCTTCTCTTATTGGCACATTTGTTTTGTAACTAAGGTTTGCTCTGCATGTTCTACACAATGTGCAGAAACCGTTCCCGTTGAGAGGAAGGTGAAAGTGCACGCCTCGTGTTCTCACCAATCCAACCCTGTTTTTACATGTTTTTACTAGGAATGTAAGAGACACCCATGGTGCCAACTGGTGCCACCACATCGCTTGGGGAACTAAATTCCGCTAGACACAGAACCTCTTTCTCGTATTTGGTTCAGGCATTTTCCAGAGCCACCGAGTGCGGGCCTCCCAGAACAGACATGTCCTTCCAACTCTTGCCAGTTGGCCCGACCTAGCTCCAAAATCGAAATACGACACGTATAATCGCAAGGTACAGACCGGGAGAAGTCGGCAGCCGAGAAGCCGCGAAGCCACAAACGACAAAAGTGCAAGCCACACGTCCCGCGAGGCAGGAAAACGAAGAAACCAAAAGCTACGAAGCAAGGCGAACCATGATGGCTTGACGAGTTTGCACACCCTTTTCTAGGACGGGCACTGCCTTAGGCTGGATCTGCAAAGAAGCACCGCTATAATCAGGGTAATTAAGGCTCCACCGCGTCACCTTGAAAATCTGAGGTACTTACACGGCGCACGGTTCGCGGACATCAGAATATTGCGTTTTTGTATTACAAAAATGTTGCAGTCACTGGGCCTGAAAGACGCCTGCTCCAAAGGTGAAGAAGGATTCGGCACAAAGAGTGCCCTTGGCCTGGCTCACTCACTACCAGCACCACAACACTGTTTCTATGGCATCATGGCCATCACCTTGTCCGAGCACTCCAAATATTCTCGAGCGACTTTCTCCAATCCGCCCAAAACCACGAAGTTTTCACTGGAATGCAGTAGTTCGCACCACACTCCTGCAACAGCAGCCTTTAGCACCCAATTAAGAGGGCGAGTCCCTTCCTAAACTGCTCGCAACCCTGCCCTGCCGCCATCACGGACTCGAAGCACTCTGGATAAGCCTTCCAGGTTGATGGCACCGGCACGCCCCTTGCAGGAAAGATGCTGCTGGGTCCAAGGCCACCAGAACCATTAAGAAGTCAAAGAATGCCTTGCAAGTGGGGCATTTGCTGTCGCAAAGCCAGACTCATGACTGGACCCAGAAGCTCAAAGCATGCTCGGTGCACAGGCTTGTCGCTGTGCGTGTTTCTAGCCGTTGGCATCCGGGCATCACACGTTAACGGCCGCCAGGAGCACGAAGGGGATAAGGCAGGTGGTACCTTCCAGCTTGAGACTTGAGAAGTTGGAGCATCCGAAGAGAGAGAACGTTTAAAGTTGCTTCCAAAACACTTGCTGCAGGAAGCAGGCTTCAAAACACATAGCTCTGGATTTTCAGCTAGGTTGAGCTACTGCATACGCCCCAGCACGGCGACGACAACAACAACAACAACAACAACAACAACAACAAAACACACACAATGTTTCAGAACGCAGCACGTGTCGAAATATGTCTGAAGGAACCCAGCACTTCGTGCAGACTGCAGTTTTCACATCCGAACTGCTGAGACCATGCTCCGCACCTCTTCATTGCTTTGCGTCGTCGACAACGCTGCATGTTCCACGAGTCAGCTTTCTCAAGTCACAAGCCACGTGAGACTCTGTGCAACACAAGTTTCACCATGTGCAGTGTGCTTGGGAACTCCTACTTCAGGAAAACCGACCCTCGATAGCGCCTGTTTGAACGGGACCATTTTCAAGTCCTTGTTGCCCCTGCTCCTCTTCACTAGAACCTTGGAAGGCTTCAGAGGTGCAAGTGCTCAACGGAAGAAGAAACATCGGAGCTCCACTCCACTACACTTGCTGCTATGGCGAGAGCATCTATCCTCAGTTCGGCTGCACCCAATGCACCGTAGAAGACACTGCACTTGCCCGACGCCTTCACTACTGTTGATTATATAAATCCTACATTACCTTGAGGACCCTAAACTATGGGAATTATGGTGTCTTCCCCATTTGGGGTAATGCAGGATTTGTATATCTCATCAACCGTAACACCATCATGTCCAGCCATGTCATACAAAGAATATTAGCATGTGGATAATTAAGGCTCGACGTGTGACGAGGCTAGCACCGCAACAGCGAAACAGCTGGTTTTGGAAGAGCCAGACCTCAACATTGGCACAAACGGTTGCCTCTGGCTGATGCCCTGTCATCTCGTAAGGCGACCACGCCAAGGATGCCTGGAACCAAGTCGTTTTCAGCACCAAGTTGGCAGCCCTCCTCCCACCTTGCCAGGAGCGTCAAAGCCCCTTGACAGTGACGGTGACTGGCTGGTGACTTCAACTAGAGCAGTGTTCCGCATGGCCAACGCTGCAAGCACAGAAGTCTGCGAGCAGAATAGTGACCCTGGTACCTTCCAATTGCCGCGACCCAGACGCCGAAGATGCTGAACGCCAAATAGCGAAATTTGTGGTGAGACTCCTCCGAAGTCAAGCTGCAGGGACGGGCTTCCAGTTTGCAACCGCCCATCAAGCAACTCGAGAAATACCTTGCCCGCCTAAATTTGCAGCTGTCTGGCAGCAATCCCGCCGCTCCTGAGATAAATCCAACCAGGGAAGGGTGTCCTTAGCACTTCTAGAGAAAAAGCACAACTTGATTGACCCTACAAAAGTCTGATTACACATGAGGAGCCGTCCATGCAACTTCTGAATACTTGGCAGACTTGGCTTGCTCATCTGCAGCCGCAGCCGGTGTCGACGAGGCCTCCTGCAGCCCGGGCCCACGCTGAGGCAGAGGTGGGGATGGGTCGCCAGGAAGGACTCCAAAACCATGTCACCATGTCCACGGAAAGGCCCCTTCGAGTAGATGATTGACATGTGCGCGCATAGTTTCTGTCCCACCGCTTGACATCGATCTGCAACCAACGATCCCGGTGGCGGGCTGTGAAACTGCTTCTTGCGTCCGCTCCCCATGAACATGGGTTCTTGAAAACTGAGCATCTGATCTGAAGCTTCGCTCAGGATGGAAAATGTTGATTGGCCGAATGGGCAAGAGCTGGCTATGCTTGGCAAACCAAATTCCAGCAACCCTGACCCGTGGATGCTTTTGCAGCTCTGCTTCTTCTGCTACACCTTGTGGTAGCAGGACTTGACGTGCCTGAAGCAAGTGACGTGTGCACCGATGCCATGTCAACCACGGCTACGTGCAGTCCAAGGGTAAGTCTCGAAGCATTTGTTTGGCACCAATGCACCAATAACTGCACGCATCTGACGCACGTGCTATCAGAAGCAGCTGCATGATCACTTGCCATTACTGACTCGTCGCTACTCCCCACTTGCAGCGGTTCCTGAAACACGGTCCAATTCGGCTCTTCAAACACATGCTCGGCACACACACACACATACAAACACGTGCATGCACAACAGGCTACCTATCCATATGTCTGTATCTATTATTCATTAATCCATCGGTCCATCCAGCCATCCATCCATCCATCCATCCAACAAAAACAACCATGTACATGTCAGAAACGGATTACATACTTCCTTACTTGCATTCCTGCCTACATACCTACCTACCCACTCACCGACCTCCATGCATGCATGCATGCATGAAACCCCACACACACAGACTCAAATACACACGCACAAGCACACGCAAAAAACATACAAATGCAAGTACGTACACACACACATACACACACACACACACACCTGCGTCTAGATGCACGCATGAAATCACACACATATATGTGTATGTATATATACATTTAGATATCTATATATCTATCTATCTGTCTATCTATCTATCTATATATCTATCTACCTATCTATCTATCTATCTATCTATAAATATATATATATATATATACATACTGCACGTAATGCATAACCCTCGAGACATAGTCGACAAAACACACGCACAATACATACATGAACAGGTGAGCGCTCAGGTGTAGACCTCCCTTTCCTACCAACAATTGTAAACATGCATCCGTACACCAACCGCCTTTACGACCACAAAGACACTCACACAAACAAACAAACAAACAAACAAACAAACAAACAAGCAAACCAACAAACCAAACCCACACACAAACACATGTGTGGTCTAACACACACACACACACACACATATATATATATATATAAACAAGTGCATACATGCAAGCACGCACCTAATGCACATGCATGCAGTGCATGCATGGTTTGCATACGCAGCTACGCACGTGCAGATGTAGAAACATGCACATACATGCCGGCACGCTTGCCAAATGCGTGAAACATGTAACTGATGTAACACAGCTTGAACGGTAGGGCATGGCAGGAACCTACAACAGGCAACAACTGCAAAGACTGAATGCGGTGCCGCTGGCCACTGTGGCCTTCGCATTAACATATTCCCGGAAGTGAAAAGGTGTGAGACTGTTCACAAACGGCAGGTGCATTAACGACACCACGCGGATCATATGTGACCCAGGGCGAGCTCCGCAGTGCCAACGTGCCGGAATCATCGTTGCGAAGCCTAGCCATGATGTCCAATCTGCCCTACTGAGGACTGTTCACTACTCACAGCAGAAGCACCTTCCAGCATAGTGCTGCTCACTGCGAGGAATCGGAATTTACCTCAGATTCTTATCACCGTCTCACTTTCCTTCAGGCGATTACCGTAGCTCAGGCAGCCCCATAGTCACAGCTGCCGCACGATGCAAACACTTACATAACCTGTCTGCCATGCTGCTGAGCTGGAAGATCTGCTTCTGTTTTCCTGGATTTCCCGGCACCGGTTTTGAACTTTAGTCATTAGTCCTTCCCAGGTCCCAGCCTTCCCTACATTAAACGAAGACTGAACACACAGCTTGGGTGTCTTATGGTTTCCTTCCTTACTGGACGAGCATCAGATGCGGAGCTGCCGCCATCCCTCCGACCACCTTTGTCTCTCTTCTTTTCTATCCTTCTCCTCAGGTAGCGCTGGTGCAGCAACTAGCAGCATTTTCCAAGTTGCAAAAAAAGCCACGAAACAGTCCCGCAACTGGAGCCACCGAAACCAGTGATGGCTCCTCTTTTTACTGGATTTCAGAATCTGCAGCAGCTTGTGAACAAAAACATTCTCATCTGGCTGGGCTTCATGGCTTTTTTCCAGAGCTTCGTCAGATTGTCAAGCCTTGGCTGTGAAAATGCTTGCACTAGTCAAAGCTGCCAGGTGTTGACTTCGACATCGGGCTGCCGGGTAACCTCTCTGCCAAGCTTCCGGATGCATCCTCCTCGTCTTCCTTGTTGCAGGAAACACATTCGGCAAACTTCCTACACAGGTGGAAGCGACAGCGACCGCGAGCAAACTAACCAGCTACGTGACAGGCCATGGCATCTTAGGAGAGGTGGACCCACCGAAGCGCATGATGGAGTCCTGCCATTGCGACGACAAACATCCACCATGCCCCTTTAACCTCTCAGTGGATCAGCAGCAGCACCGAAAACGACCTTCAGCAATTTCCATAAGCTGTCGTGAACTTTCATGGCACTCCAAGCTCGTCTCGAGGGTCCAAAGCCTACTCCCTCTGCGGACCTCTTAGCTCACCAACACCAAAGGGTAAATTTCCTACTCCCCACATTGAGCCTCAACAATGAGTCTGGTTAGGCTCCATGACACCACATACAAAAACAGCATAGGCATAGGCGTCGTGACCCGGAGTTGGCTAGGTATACCGGTGTGACACTGGCGTTGGGGCCCTTGCCCACGATCAATCATGCCCATGTACTCAAGACAAACACAGAATCTGTGCGGTCCTGGTTGGTCGGGTTCAAGTTGCCGGGCTCCAAGATTTGAATGCAACCTGGCAGCCCCACATCACCTGAAAGAGATCAAATGGCAGTCTCGGGGAAAAACCGTAGCAGCTGATGAAAGAACCATGACATCACGTCTCATGAAGATCACCTGCATTCACAGTTTGCCCTACTGTCACTGATCTGCCGACTGACATTGTATGAATTTCTTGAGACAAATGTGGATGCATCCTCTCATCCTGATTGTTTTGTCCGGTTACGCGAGTGGTCTTGCGGCTCAAGCACTGGATCGATTGTCAGAGATCCCAATTCACAAACAAGGCTGGTCTTTGAGAAATACTTTGGCAGTAAAAAAACAGTCGTGCGACAATTTGGCAGCAATCGACTCTTCGACAATTGAAGATGTGCGGGTAGCAGCCCATGTTGTGGAAGGGTGGGTGTGACTGCCGAGTGCGGATAAGATGTGTGATTCAGACATGTCGAGAAAGCTACTTATTGCAAGCATGCACTATGTTTGTCCGTAGTTTCCCCGAGTGCTTCTTTCATCTCGACTTTTGTTGGATGATGTCACCATCGTTTCACTTGTGGCCAGCCTCCGATGATGCTATGTGCTGTCCAGCAACCTTCGCCGAACTCCATGCGCTCGTCTAGCCTCAACCCCGCCACAAAGCGTCGGAAGCGAGAGCGCCGGACAGCAGGCATTGAATCACATATGATTGCCATCCTCGGCTTGGGGAGCGAGAACCAGCTGGCAACAGCAGCCTTTCATCCGAAATCACCGGTATCTGACAATATCTGGCATCCTTGATTATCAGGACTCCGATTCAGCCGCGCCAAGCCCAGCATTCTGTCATACAACGAGGAGTATGCCCCAATGATCTGCGCGATCAACACGTTGGAGAGGAAAATGACAACCTTGTGGCAGGAGCCAACTAAAAGCAAGTCCTGCCGCAGAGCAACCACGTGTAGTCCGTGCAGACATGCGGCCAAGGGGCCAACACTGTAAATCCGACACACATCACCATAATCCAGCGTGACTCTTTGAGGCTGTGAAAGTTTTCCGCTGGATACATACCGATGCTGATCTGAAAAAAACTGAGCGCCGACTGCGCTATGTTTGAGAAATCAGAGCTTTTCTCGCTGGAAGCCGACGTGGTGCACCCGAACACCAGTATCAAGTAGAACACGGCCCCCAGCATGAGAACCTGACACATCACATAATGCTTTCACGGCGAGGCTTCAGCCAAACAGCCATCGAACAGCATATCCACCCAGCAATCGGAATTCGAAGCGCCGTTGTCTTAAACGGCCAACAGTTCGAGACAGTTGCAACTCAGTAGTTGCCTGTGACTACACCACACAGCAAGCTCGTCATGCCATGGTGCTAATTCTGGAAGCACTTGTCCCGAGATCATGACGAAGGCAGAGCAGCGAACGAAAAGCGCACCTGCAAAGCAAGGCACAACTTAACTCGGTTGACTGCAGCCTCTGTTTCACGAGTGGTGTCTTCCGAATCTTTGATTTCATCGAGGCACTGAAATCAACCAACAGTGCGAAGTAGCAAAACATGGCCAGCATCGACAAGAATGCATAGACATCACGGACATCTCTTGCTGCAGGACCTGAGCAGGACAGTCGCGACTAAGCACCGAAAATGAAGGGCACGGTTTGGGCAACGGGGACAACCTTGATACTTTCAACCAGGCCATGCCCGAAAGCACTTCTGAGTGGCAATGCAGGGGTTCGCTGCGGCGTGAGAACGGCATGCCGGGAATGACATGATGCTGAGATGGGCTGGCGTTGAGCAGTTTCTTTTGCTCCATGGCCAGAGAGCCTGTGCAGGGCTGCCATCGACCTCGGAACTCCAACCTGGCTCCTTCGGGGCTCCTGTTGGACAGTGGAAGTAGACTCAGTAGACCGAAAAAGTTTGCACCAACACTCCGTTCTCAAAGATAGTGTTCCCAGGACACTGTAGAAATCCGATCTTGGTAGTCTCCGCTCCGCACACTTCCACTTGTGAAAACTCTGTGGGTTGGCTTGCCCGGCCACTGTACACACAACCTCAGCACAGCATCACGGAAGGAAATAAATGCAGCAGCACATGTTGCGGCCCACCAAAGTGCACACGTCGTCACGCTGCCACAGTCTTACTCTCACTACATGCAGCCAGGCAACTTGGTCCGAGGTTGCCATTGAAAGACCCATGGCTGTAAAACACTGCTGCAATTAGCAGTGCACAAAGATTTCGTCATGTATGCGTTCAACACACGCGCGATGCCACTACGAGAACAGAGGCCCACAAACTCTGGAATCTTGCGTGGAACCACCAACGGCGTGATTAGCTGAGCTTGTGCTAGGCTGGGCATGGATGTGACTCGAGGGGCTTTACAGGCACTACACTACGCCGTCGTCACGGTCATCTTGTCCAACTCGGCCTTCAGGGCTCTTAGTTAAAGGCAAAGCCCAGAAGCGGGGGCGGCACTCGTATTGGGAGACCTTTCCACCTGCATCCAGGTGGTTTACTTTACAGAATTCGGGAATCCGGGCCTCTAGAAGCTCCTGACCCATTCGAAGACGGGCATAGTCAAACGACGCATCCCGCAGGACGAACACTCGCTCGCCATTTGACTCCGTCCTCTGCTAGCATTTGCTAGCCACACCCAGAGCATAAAATGCTAATGGTTGAGATCCGAGCTGCGTGCGTGCGAACATGTGAGAACACCCACAAGGGCAGCCGGCGTTCTACGTGCCGAGTAGCATCGGCTCAAAGCCAAGCATTGTCATCAAAGCTTCGGCTCTCTCCCCACCAGCAGTTATCAGCCTGGCTGGGAACGGTGGTTAGCTGCAGAAACGGAAGGCCTGGAGTGATGCTCAGCCCCGCAGCCTTACCCGACACAATCGCACTCCGCTTTTGCCCTGCAGAGTTGCCCGACACAATCGCTCCCAGTTTTTAGAATGCTGGCTCCCGCCTGGAACGGATTGCGGGATTCTCAGTCCGGATTCTTCGGAACCTCAGATCTTCATTGGCTGACTGCAAGAAAACCTCCTTGCAAAGGTTCTCAAGCAAGAAATTCGTAAGGGGTGTGAACATTGGGTGGACCTGGCTTGTTGAAACACTCGCTGATAGCATGCGTTTCAAGTTGAGGAAGCCAAAACAACTGTGGACGTCAACATGCATCATTATGCCCCTAACCATGGAATGTAGCAGCACAAGCTTCTGACTCATGATGCCGAGCTTCTTCTGCTCATCTGGGCTTTTCACGACATTTCTCACCAGTTTCAGCAGAAGCTCCACGGCAGCTGCCTTTGACATCGGGGAGCAGGAGGCAGCAAGACCCGAAGCAAGTCAACGCATCCTTGAGCACATTCAGAACGTGGGTCGATCCCACGCGGTAACATCAAATACAAGCGCGAAAGGGAGCTCAATGCAGAACCCCGCACCTTGGTCGCCTGTTCGGCAGCTAGTCCAGACAGCTTCTCGGAGAAGCGCTTCAGCCATACAGCAGCGCCGTCCAAGCCCTGTCGCTGCAACTACACATGTCTAGACCCAGGTGCCGCGGTTGCTTTAGGTCAGAAAAACAAGATAAAGAATCGGCTGCCCTGTAAATCGAAGGCACGTGCAGGACCCGACACTCTATAGATTCTGGAGAGTCTTCTTAGTCTCTAGAGCATTGACTCTTACCATGGACTCGCAGGTCGGCACAAAAGCTGGGAGCCTGCAGCTCCAACTCGGAGAGGTCCAGTGGAGGAAGATCCTGACATGCAGCATCTGCAGCCCGAAGCCCGGACCCAGAAATGAGAAGCTTTTTTTGCGGCTGTCCTCGGCTGCGGCAGCTGGGGTCTGAGCCGAAACCTCAGCCTCAGAAACTGCCTGCGGAGGCGGATTCGCTGCCGAGGGTTCGATCTCCTGCGAAAAGGCACTTCGGAGATTCTGCCCCGTCGAAAAAAGCTGCTGGAAATCAGCCCCTATCCGAAGTCTGCCTAAGTCCTAGAGTCCTAGAGTCCCGCAGAATGTCCAGAATATTCCGACTACTGCCATCAGCTTGGAGCACGGCGTGAAAGCCTTGCCTCTCTCCGCTGTGCTGCTTGGGGCTCCATCTCCCTGTCTGCGGCCGTTGTTGGAAGATCGCCGGCAGTTGGTCCAAACTGCTCCATGTTGCCACCGTCGTGCTGAGGATCCTGCTCCATCTCAACGGGGCCTGACGAGGACGAGGCAGCTCCAAAAAGACATGTGGTTGCGCCCTCCACCAATGCATTGATAAGCGCATCCTTCTCCTCTGTGGACACAGTGTGGGTTTCCCCACAGGGACAGGCAAACATCCATTGCCCGTTCGATGCGAGGAAGTTCGGCACCCAGGGCTTCACAGTCTCTTCCGGGTCTTCCACCTCCCCGGGAAGCTCTGGTTCCGTCTGGCCCATACGAGCTTCGGCCGCGGCCAATGCTCTGGACCTTCGGTCCGAATCTGTCTGAGCCGCCTCGAGGCTGCTTCCAAGTACACGTCCGAAGCTTCCCTCCTTCCCGGCATTTTCATCACCCTCGAAACCCTGGAACTGGCCAGCAGCATTGCTGTCAGCCGCCCTCCCGCCATGACTCCAAAAGCGATGGAAGCGCATGTACTGGGCCTTTAGTTCGCCGAACAGTTTCCAGAAATTGTTGTCATGCGGACCCCAAACATTGTGTGTCAGCTCATGGATTAATGTATTGATGAGATCATGGTAGGGCCGAAACCCCTTCAGGGTGTCCGTCCGCAGCCGAAGTACAATCATGCCGCCGTAGTTTTGGTTGTAGCCGAGCAAATCCATGTTCGGTGTGCCGCGCTTGGCCATACGCTCTTGAGCTTCTACTGGGCTCATCTCTGTCAGAACACCAACCTTGAACTTTCTGGTCTTCATGATCTCGATGATGCCAGGATCGGTGGACAATTTTTGCAGCAAGCGCTCCGCCTCATACGGAGGGGGCTCCGAGTACTTGAACTCAGCCTGCATGATCGCAACAGTTGAAGAAGGCAAGCCAGTCAGTATAAGTCTTCAGTAAGGGTTTTACAGGTGCTCCGACAGAAAATCCTAACCCTGCCTATGAATCAGAACAGAGATGCGCCTTTATCGAGCCAAAATTGAACTCCGAGTCTTGCTTCGTGCCCCAGGCAGAGAGAGCAGCTCGCGCCCGCTTGCGTCGGCTTTGCTCGTCTCTTTCCTCCTCGGCAAAGCCTTTCCTTGGAAACTCATGACGAGCAGATATTCGAAGAGAGATTCTTCACAAAGCAGATCTGTACACCAATATTAAAGTTATATAGGTTCATATAGATAATTGCCGTTATCTCTGTCACTCAAGCTGTGCTGTCCATTTTTTCGCATCTTGTTAACGCCATTGCTTGGTCAAGACAGCGCTGGCATGCAGGACAGGTTCACCAGAGGGTCAGCCCGGGAAGACTGCACGAACGAGACATCCTTGGCCTGGGAAGGGACGGGTGGGCACTGAAGGGAAAAAGAAGCAACATCGGAGCAATGGTTCAGGTCACGGGCTTTGCCCACAGCAAGCCAAGAACATGCAACTTGATGTGCACATGCGGACCCAGCGGCAGAGCTCGCCACTAACATAACCTTGCATCCCGCCGCAAGACCAGCTTCCGCCACTGTCTGGGTGTCCTGAGAGCAGCGTTTGTCTTCCATGCTTTTTTGTGTTGCCAAGAGATGTTTCTGGCAAGCTTGAGGTTTGGTACCTCACACTAGCCAGCAAACTCACCAGCACTATGAAAGGGACGAAAAACAACATGAAAAATCGTGGCTCGCGTGTTGGCCTGATTGATGCCATGACCGATGGTGGGACTTCGGTTCCATCTTGATGGCTTCACTCAGAGAAACAACCGGAGCCTCCGGCCACTGCGCACGCATGGTATGGATGCACGGTTCAAGAGTGCACCATGCCGAGCCGCGTTGTCGGGTCTCAGGACTTTTCCGCGAAAGATCAACTTGCAGTTCCTCAGCTGCACAGGTTCACAGTCTTCGGGATGAGGGTGAGACTGGAGACACCTGAAAAAAGAATTTTATGTACGGAGAGACGTAGTGTATCTTGTCAAACAACCTACGTGCACACAGACCAGCCTGCAACATTTTCCAATCAACGGCCAGCAACTCTCTGGGAAAGTCCAATGCTTCCTGGACAAAGTCGAATATAGAAGCAAGTTGGTCGTCACCTTGCACCTGAGATCCAAGCTCCGAAATCCGCGAAGACTTGCTGCAGCCGGTGCAAACTGAAAGTCATGACAATCGCAGTTGCAAGCAAGAAGAGTTTCAGGCAGTCAAGGCTGAAGAAAAACTCGACTGTATAAATCAGAGGTGCGGGTACCTCATAAGCGGTTCCTCTGTAGGATACAGACACGAAGTAAACGTCGTCTTCCGCTCCATTGACGCCGTCACTTCTCGCGGCCTCGATCTCGGCCATGAGGCTCGAAGCGGGTTTTAGCGAATTGGTGTACTTTAATCTGCTCTCCTTCCTTGAGCCAAGAGGGAGCACTGCCAAATAAAGTGCTTGTGTGGTTGCAGTGCGGCAGATCCACCCAAGTCTGCGACTGGGCCAAAAACATCCGTGTCCAGACAAGGAAGGCCCAACCCGGCTATTATCGAGGTGCTATGTCGCACAGTTAAGGCTGCATGATGCGATGTCCAAGAACTTTCTCAAACATTAATGTATGGCCGGTGGCAGTTCTGCGTGAAGAGTCCCGCGTCCGGAAAATCACCGTCAGCCTGGAGGCAATACCTGAAGAAGTGGCATCTTGAGCTGCTGGCATACACTGAAGTGCTGAGTACCCTTTGTAAGGTAAGCAATGTGAAAAAAGCGAGCCGAGCAGCAGTATCGGCTCAACCATGAACATGGCAATAAGAATCAAGGTCAGAAGCCAGCTCATAGATTCTTGCCAGTCCTGAACCGGGAATCTTCGCGGACATAAACCAACCAAGCAACAGCAGAAACAGTCATCTTTGCCCGGCTTCGACCCGACATAGGCACATCACGGGTCAAGACAGTGCTGACTGGCTTATGGCTCCGGGTGTAGATTAACAAGCCTGGGATCACCTGCATGCCACTCTATGATACCTGCATGCACAGAGCGCGGGGCGGATCACCAACGACTAGGGCCCAAGCTGCTAACGCCAATGCTATCAGGACGATAAGCCTACCACAAGCCCCGAACTAATTCCATCACAAATCGAAAGCGGTATCAAGCGTCTGTGATCACCTTAGAGGGCACAGGGATCTGGCATCGGCGGACGATGTCCCCATCTCTGATCGATTTGCAGGTTATTCTCGTGCGGGAGTAGATCAGCCTTGGCTCCATGTTCTGGGAGCTGTAGCCAATGTCCAAAGCAAGCTTCCATACCAAGGGGCTCCAGCATGCTGGCAAAATAAACGAAAGCTCGACATACCGCAGTCCTTAGTGTAGGCCCGTATGTTCAGATTCTCGAATCGGTGCTGTAAAAACATGCACAACATCGGTAGAGGTAAATCTGTCCCCAGCATCGCAATACGCAGTGTGCCCTGTGTTGCCTCATCCTCTGCGTGCCAGGTCTTTAAGATCGACTGGCTCATGAGGAACACCAGCAGTGTAAACAACAGCCAGACTTTGCTCCGCAGGAATGGCCCATATATCACATTGGTCCAAACCAGATCCGTCAACGTTTCCTAATTGCAGCAACACACACACACTGCCAATGCGACATGCCAATCAAAAATCCACGAGTCTTGGCACATTGCCACCAAGTGTCGAGAACGCAGTGCACCACAATTACCGGATCTTGCATCTGGCAGATCCATTGGGTTGCACCGGCAAACTGTCCGTCTGCATCTACCAGCAAGTGCTTGATGAAAAAGTTCACGCGTCTTTGCCCTCCAACCACCACTCGCGATCGCCAGACCAGTTTGTCGAGCAAGATCTCTAGCAAAGTCGGGGCCTCTTTGGTGAGAACCTGTCACCAGCATCTCAACAGTTGGAATGTCCGAATCGCTGTTTTGCAGTTCAAACCCTAACAGGAAGGAAGCGAGTGCAGGCCTGTACGATATCTGGATGCCGGGAGAACAGGTCATCATTACCGAAATAGTATCCTTTGCCGGGAAGCACAGAACACTCACCGGGCTAACAGGGATGCGAGGTTGAAGCCACATGCGGCCAGTCCAACAGCAGCAGCTCTGCCATGCAGACACAAACTAGCCGTTGGCCAGCTGCCAACGTGGGAAAACTTCAGGCTGCCAGTCTGATCATTGTTGCCCACACATCCTACTGATAGAGCCCCAGGGATGGCTGCAGGCAAGCGGCGGTCGCGATCTGCACGGATCCTTGCATTTACTACGAAAGATCTTAGCCTGGCTGCTTCGGCTGGGTAACATGTTTTATAAAAGCTAAGGTGACACGCACATCCTGCTAGTTGAGAGGCGGAGGCAGCAAGAACCAGACAATGGCATGCAGACTTAGCGTAGCGAGGCAAACATGAGCGAGCACTGCACTTGCTTCCAAGAAATCATGGCAGTTTATCAGTCTAGAAGTCCATATCGAATTCATGAGGAGACGCAGCAAGCCTGCTCAGCTTCCATCACCCTTGACTCCATACGAGGAAGCAGCAGTTCACCAGAAACTCTTGCCGCAAATAAAGCTATCAAGAGGATGCAGCAAAGGCTCGTTAGCAAGTCTTCTAACATCTCATGTGCCGCCTGCCAAGGATCGCAGGTATGAGGCAAGTCGCAGATTCGACTCTCACAGCACCGCCAGGCATGGATTCACAACAACAGATCCAAACGGCAAGACTGCACAACTTGCTTGCAGGCGTCGCCAGCTTCCTCCCCAATTGAAAATAGTGGAGGGTTTTTGTAATTAAAGGTTTGGCGAGAGGCCTTTTGGTTTGGGTTCGCCTGTGTGTCAAGTTATTGTGGGATTCTTTTTGCCTGCTACTTAGCAAGGACGAGCCCGCATTCCAGGGTGATGTCCGGACATTGACTGCGCAGGAAGGCCCCGATTCAAGGTCCAGCCAATTATCCAGAAGCGCTTTTCACAGGACTTCCAACAAACTAAAATTGTGGGATTCTAGCTTTCAGGGTTTGTCTGCGCGTCAAGCTATTGGGGAATTCTAGTTTTCAGGATTTGTTTATGCGTCAAGCGATTGGGGGTTTCTAGTTTTCAGGGTTTGTTTGTGCATCAAACTATGGGGGGATTCTAGTTTTCAGGTCTTGCCTGTGCGTGAGGCTATTGGGAGACTCTACTTTTAAGGGTTCGCCTGTGCGTCAAGCTGTTGGGGGATTTTACTGCTGCTGGTGCTGCTGCTTATCCTGCTGCTACTGCTGCTGCTGCTTCTGGTGGTCATATATCGTTCAATATGCATCCTGAACACGCCCCCTCACGTGGTGATTCCGGATCATCGTAGATCATCGTATATCTGAAACACGGCCCCTCAATTCGCGATTCCGTTTCATCACGTATCTTCAACCACTCATTTGGCGATTCCACAAAAGGGCCTGGGTACTCTCAACAACTCCCTGACTGTCCAAACACGACATTTGCAGAAGTAGACTGTTTGGTCGAGTGGTGACAATTGGTAACACTTGTCCTTGCGACCGAAATATGGGACGAAACCTCCCCGTGCTTCCGTCCAGAGCCCTTCAGGAGCGCGACATCTTGTTTCCAGCCACTCTGCAGCTCATAGCAGCCAACGCATGTGCCCATTGTCGGTGATTCCGGCGATTTTCCAAGAAGCCACACGCTAAGGCCACGGTTTGCACGCGGCCCTACGAAAATGCGTGCCGGCTTCAACATTTTCACCGTTCAGCGGGGGCTCGAAACCGTGGACCACACAGTTCAGCAGGGCTCTGCCTGCTGCAAAAGCCAGGGTGGCGAACAAGAGCCGAGCCACGAACATGGTGCAACTCAAGCCTGGCTGGGTGGATTCCATTTCACTTGCACGATGTTCGGTGATTTGGCGTCTTGCTCAAGGATGACGGAAGCACCCTCAGAGTCACAAACAATTCCCTTGCGTGGAGGACCATGTAGGTAAGAAAGGGGTGCTCTTTTTTCGCTGCCATGGCTTCTTTTGCTGTCGTGGCTTGGTGGTTTTCCAGCGAGAACACACTTTTTTGTTGCTGTCCTGGCGGGGTGCGGATTGATTTTGCTCTCTTGGCAGGGGTGGGAGCTCGCTCCGTCGCTGGCTTGGCTTGCTCAGTTGTGGGTGCCCGTGCCGGGCAGGCACTGTTTTGCTTTCTTGCTTTGTTGCTGTCGTGACCGGACAGGTGCTCACTCACTGGCTAGGCCCTTAGGGGGCTTATGCAGCTAAATGATATGACATGCAACAAACGCAAGAAATCGACTGCCTCGCCTCCAGATTGCCGCTAGATATCGCCCAAAGCAGAGGTGAAATTGATTGGGTGCCGACCTCATTCGCAATCCCATTTATATCTGTCGACATCCCTACTACAAGCAGTTTCTTTCCCGACTGCACGACTTGCGAAGGAAGAGCCGAACCCCAGGACTGGTTTTGGATTGTTCCCAGCAAAGGTCCCGCTGGCAGCTCGGGCTGTTCCACTGCACTGCAGCCACGGAGCCGTAATCTTCAGCATGCACATGGCACGCTTAGCCCTGGGAACAGGCGTCAACGCCTGGCAATGAGGCAAGGAGACAGGGTGGCTAACACACTGACATGACACAGTTTGCAATTCTATGCCAGTATTACTCAACTTCCGTGCAAATCCTGCCCAGCAGCTCGGTCTTACCTTTGAGTAAGCCGGTCCGACCGAAACATCCCTACAGCACAATCCGTGCAAGTTCTCATTGGGCCTTCTTGACCATGTTGGCCGAGTTGAGGTTGATGGCCTTCATCACCAACGTGGAGCCCTCGTTGATGGTTCGCACCAGGACCCGAGAGATCAGCCTCAATAGAAGGTCTGGAGAAACTTAGGACGTAAAGGTCAATGCAGGCTGATGTTTAAAAATAGCAGAAAATCCGCAAAGGCAACAGGGGCTTTGGTACTGTAGCCTTCCACGACGTGAAGCAAAGTCAGGTGATGTCAACGAACTGCACTGCAAGCGAGGAGCCCCAGTGACCAGCCAAAGCCATCGCATAACTTCTCATCATTTGTAACTTCACGCATGACTTCCACACAGCACTGTACCTCAAAAGCCCGGGCTGTGAAACTGTGAAACACTTGTTCAGGGCAACGGGTGAAAGATAAAAACATGGAGACATCGATGGCCTGAACAAACAATATCATTACCGCCAAGAGACAAAGGGGTTGAAAAACTCTGTTGGGATGCCGTAGCCGACCTCGACTGCAACTCAAAAGCGGGCCCGGGCATTTAGCGAAGGCTGCTAAACTCCTCACCCGCAAGCTTCTAGTGCTATTGAGACAGCCAGCGTGGCGCAACCCAAGCGCTGAAATTTCATCCACCATTCCTGAGCAAACTGCAGCTAGTGATCACTACTGCATCAGCCCGGGCGACGCCTTTCGCAACGGACATGTACCAAGACTCGGCAAGGAAACTCGTACATGGACAGGGTCATCTCAACGACTCTGTCAATGATGAACTGTAGCCTTGTTGAGGATTGCTTGAAGTAGTTCTGCCCCTCTGGAGCCTGCGTGCAGTCGCTCACTGGAAATAAGTGCTGCTGTGGGACTATGTGACTGAACTTGACACTCGCAACAAAACAAACCGAGTGAATGTGGCAAGTCACCACCGCAAAGAACTTTGCATAGATTTTGCGGCTCAGTACGATCTTCGTTTCATCTTCAATCGATCCCACGTACCGGGATACTCTGCGTTCCTTGCCCCCCAAACATGCAAACTCATGCAGCCGGCACGAACACATGTAAAGGGAAAGAAAGCGAAAGAACGTGTGCTCCAAGCATAATTCAAGGCACCCTCTCAGCTGCTTTGCCCAGCTCTTTGCCCAGAATCTTCTCCACATTGCTCCAAAGCCAGTCCCAAGCTTCCTCGTGCTTAGTGTCCCAGTCCTGACAGGAGCAATGCTGCAATGCTGCCTCCTCATCCTCCTCCTCTTCCGGCCTCAATGTTTTCGCTCTCCAAAGTTCGGAAAGCCAACCGACAAAGTGCTGTGTTCATAAAGAAAACAGGACCCGACAAGCTCTGCTTCAAGTTTTATCTGCACAAACCACATCCCGAATTGTCTGACACGTTCCCAAATGTCCTGTGGCACCAGGGATCGCAAGGAAGCCAGCATAACGGCTTTGAACTCCGCAAGGATGACGACGCCTTCGGGGATGTAGTAGTTTACTGATCTGCTCTGGGGGCAGACAACCTTAAGGACTTGAGGTGGCTTTAAGATTTTCGAGGCATGAGACCCAACGGGAGGCCCCAACAAAGAAACGGCGCGGGGCAAAGGCTACTGCCTTTAGAGTTCCGCGTGCACGTGCGAAAATGAGTGTTGTCCAAAGTCTAAAAATCACATTCACAGTTATTTGGAGGACCGCAAGCCCACAGGCTCCTTCCGCGCAGTCCATACTTATAAGTTACAAAAGCAACCACCAGTTGGAAGGTTATTCGACGTTCGAAACCATGAAAGATGTGCAGGCTACTGAGATATTTTGAGATGTAGACTCTTGGGAAAGCCCCGAAGTCATTTCAAAGGCACGGCCTGATCTGAATGCCAAACGGGAACACAAGCAAACGATTGCAAATGAACCGAGACGGAGATTTCCTGGTGACCCTCTTTATGCATATCTCAGAACAAAACAGATGCCACAAATGTCCAAGCCTGGCAGCTTGGCAAAGCGCAAGGAAAGTACGTCGCATTCTTCCTGCAACATGTAAAGAACTACGAGTAGAATCTAATCTCGGCTGTAGCTTTGATGTCAGTGCTTCAGAATGCAAACACGGTGTCAAGTGAGACGGGCTTAAACCAGTCTCCTGTAGTCGGAAAGAGTTTGCGACATTCCGTACGATGGCATCAAAGCAGTCCAAAACCTCATACATCCACTCTCTGTCAGCCATGCCCATGACAGCGGCATTGAAGCGGAACATGTCGTCGAAGCTCGTCGGGACCTCTCGCGACAAAGAAAAAGCAAAGCAGGAGAATTATCGGATGGGTGCCAACCCAAACGAGACAGCATGATTTTCTAAGTCTGGCCACACCCTGCATGCTGATCTTGTTTGGGATCTCGTTCTTGGCTTCCTCCTCTGCAGGAGGCTGGACCTCCGCCATCGACTGGGATGCTTTGTCCTGTGATACTGTGTGAGACTCCGTCTGCGACGCCGTTTGGGAACCAGATTCCCGCGCCTAAGCCGAGCGAAACGCAAATGTGCGGTGCACAAAACCAAAATTCCGATAACTGCTCCTCGGATCAAACTGAAATACATACAAACCAGGTGCGCATCCACTCCGAGTCTCAGAGTCTGCTTGCGCAATATCCTCATCCCAATCGTCATCCTGGACTTGCCCATTCGCACTGGCGGTTCTCCAGCTCGAGGCCAGAATTTGCAACCTTTCCTCCGGTCGATATGAGAAAATCCACTAGACGACAAACTGCACTTCCCTCAGGAGCTGCCGCCAAGCTGCCGCGAATGTTTCACGAAGATAGATGCATCCACCACCAGCATAATTCAATGTCTTACGCAAGCCTTCATAAGCAAGGGTCGTGAAGCGATCGCCCAGCCTCAGCAAACAAGTGCAGGAAACGTGGAGACTGATTCTAATGAGAGGGAGCCGGGGTGTCCCCCCAATGCATCGTCACAGGGGAAAGGCCACAAAAAGTTCCAAAGTGTTTGGGTTGTAGAACGTACAGGTACCGTATTGGTATGGTGTCGGCTCTTAATCCGAATCCGACAACCAGGGACGCGGCACGGCTCTGCTCCACCGTGCTTTCTGGCAAGCAAAACAAACACCATTCCACCGTACAGGCGAAAGTTTAGGCAAGGGCTGGTGGGCGTAGGCACGAGACACGCCTCTCACAAGGCCCTGCGTCATGGTCGCTCCGCACAAGCGAACGGCAAGCGTGCGACGCCAGCCCGGTAGGGTGGGCCGCCGCCCTTGCAAGACATGGTTTTGCCACCAGGGCGCTTCCCACCACCATGCCTAGCGCAGGCATGCGTCCGCCGTACCGTATCAGGCTGCCGCAAGGCACTTCCGGGGTGGGCCGGGCGCAAAAGTATTTCTGGCGCATCATGGCTCACATCGGCTTGTCTTCAAGCCGACCGAGATTACTCTCCAGGCGCGAACTTGAACGCTCTTGCGATCTCAGCAGACGGCTAAGTTGACCGAAGAGTCTTCGGGAACATCTTCTGCCCGCATCCTGACACCGGGGATGGCAGTGCCACCGTGCTTCTTGTATGCGTAAGGACACCTGTCGCATTTCGTACATTTCCCTGACACAGGGAAGTCTTACTTCACCCTCTCGTCTTTGGAATCCGTAGTGTCCACCGAAGTGTAAATCTGACTGCTGCCGAAGACACTCTGCAGTGAAGGCTTCCAACATGGCTTCTCTAACTACCGCTATTCGCGGCGTCGTCACCTCAAGTTCGAGGTGCTTGAAACCTGCACGGGAGTTCGTCACGACCCCTCCAGCAAGCCAGCAACGATCAAGTCTTGATAACTTCACATTACCTATGGCGGTGCCTCGCCTAGAAGTTCTATCAGGGATTTGACTTCCTTGCCATTCGGCAGGGCCATCACAATGCTCTCAATGCCTCCAGCGAACCTGGCAAGAACTCGAGCACTACACTAATAATAGCAAAATGAAAAAGGACTAGAGATTGATCCTCGCACCTATGCAGTGTCGGCTGCCCTTGAAGCTAACAAACCTAACCCCTGGATCGGGCCTGCCCGACATAACCGCGCGTGAGGTCTTGAACAAATAATGAAGCGATGGAGCGGCATCATAGAAGGCAGCCTTGTCTACCATGTGCCAGAGGTAAGCATGCGCCAATGGTGCATCTTGCGGCACTACCCAGGGTGTACTTCACTTTGTCCACAAGGCATGTTAGTCAAAGCTAAACAGCTAACAGGTAAGGTGGCGGAGACCAGAATGCCAAGAGAGAGACAATTGGCGTAGCAGGGTTCAATGCTGCCTTGTGCCTCTAGGCTAGGTACATGTTGACACGGATGCGAAGGCGAATTTCACCCGAAACATGCTACAGCCGGTGCAGCTTAGTTCCATGATCTTGCCGGGGAGCAAAAAGCGTGTCGCAGGCAATGTCACGCGAGCTGAAGGACTCCATGTACATGCCCCACGCATCTTGCAGTTCTGCGGCCTGCAAATCACTGCACATCTTCGGGATGTGTTCTTCTCTGCGCTGTTGCGCCCGATCCGGGATTGCACAAACAGTGGACTCCAAACAACACGGCGCGTCTTCGTTGTTATTGACCCACTCCTGCCTGCTCTGCATCCATCACAAGCCTCAGTTGATCAAGGAGTGCGTGCTACCACCACAGCAACTCTTCAGAATAGATTGACAAAGAAAAGAACCATGGGTTATCAAAGGTTGCAGCCGCAAACCCTCCGAACAAAAGTGTGGCTAGAAGCAACTCCAACCTGTCCGTGACGACCTCGTCCCCACTCACACCGTCACCAACGACAGAGTTTGGTGTAAGGCCACCTGGCATTCGCAAAACATGTTCAAGCTTGAGCTTGCAAACGTATAAGCCATAAGCCACACATTGTGGGTTGTCTATCGCAAGAAGTCGAGAGCGACATCTCCAACAAACAGAGAGTAGAGTGCCTCACCCGAACCTGCACGATAGGGCCCTATCCGTCAAGCCTATCTATGTCGTGCTATCTCCCGAGGTATTCAGTAGTGAACCCGGAGCATTGCAGCGAGGCCAGCCGCCTGCTTGGACACCCTGAATTTCTGAAAGAAGCTGCTGAATGCATTCGTCCTGCCAGCTCAATCTCGGGCAACTGTAGAAATCCGAAATGAACAAGGTGCTCACCAACACGCGAGCTCAGGAACCATCGCGTCTGCTGCTGACAAATCTGATCTGTCATGCAACTGAAAACAAAAGCACCGGTTTGTCCTTGTGGATGGTTCTTAACTCAACATGGGCCCTTGACTGCCGTAGTGTTGCTCTGACACGCTCCTCCAGCAGGTCCGTGCGGAGCGATGACACGGCCTCCTTGAGGACATCTGCCGCGCTGGCATTTGAGTCCCTGAGACAATCTAACTTTCTACTGCTGGAGGGTCATCTGCACCACACATCTTCTGACAATCGTGCTCATTGCATTTTCGAAAACAACTGAATTACAAAACGATGCCTCCAAACACCAAGCCTCTCAGTCAATGTAACGACCAGATTCACGAGCCCGGCGATCGTGCCGTCACTCACGATGTTTGCACCGTCGGACCTGAACATGGCAGTTTAGCATTTGGCAGCATTTGTCCAATGGAGAAGCGAACAGCTCTGCCCCAAAGAAACAAAATGCAGGACGCAGAACGAGTTTTAATACAAGCTTAGGTGCCACTGTGTGCAGGCTTCTTCACCCGCTTCCTCTATGAGGAGCTGCAGCTCCGCGAGAATGCCATCCTGTCCATAGCTGAGTTTCTAGGCAATACTTTACGCAGGCAGATGTCTGGCAAAGTTCAGATGGGATTTAGTTTGCCTTGCTTTGTTCATGTGTGTGTTTGCTTGGTGGATCTCCTGAGCAACAAGCCGCTGTCCAAGACGCAAGCGTCGTGGTCAAAGATTTCCGGAGACAGGGCCATTCAAGAGAGCGGGGATTTTAGTGGCTGGGCCGAAGAAAACCTGGCCCTTGTCCTTGGCAACGTCGGCAAGATACGGTTTCAGCCGTTCTTCCTCAGAGTCAGGTTTGCAATGCTCACAGCGCCTCTGGGGGCCCTGGACTGAATCAAAGTGCGATTGTGATCAAGCCGCGGCTGCTAGAGCTGCAAACAAGTACTCTGGGATGGTGAAGGCACCCTCCTCTGCATCCTGAGCACAAGAACCTTCAAGAAACTGCCCCCCACATCTTCTCCAACTCTACCACAATGCAACTGCAAGGCCACGAAGTTGTGAAGCGGAGAAAACAAATCAAGGAATTCAGCCCTAGAACTTGAAGCTGCAACAGGACGCAGATAACACACATAAGAAGCAGGGCTTCAAGCTTCCAAATGCAACACATGCATACAGTCAGTCCCGCCATTATATCAAACTTGAAAGCTCAAACGGTGCTTCAACGCCCGCACCTCATCGGAGGGGGCCGATGCCATGTGAGGCCCCCCACCGTTCGGTGCACACAGGGCCGGGGCATCTCTGCTTGCTGAGCCGACAATCAGGGATGCAAACAGACCCACAAGCCATCAACAGCAGGCAGGATCCCTGCAAACTTGTTCCACTACTGCTTGGTTTTCGAAAGCACGTGATGTGTGCACTCATCTACTTTCCGCGCAGTCTGCTCCCCTTTCCCTTGGAGAGCGGATGCAACCGTCCAGCATGCTGGAACAGGGCGACACTACACTGGCAGTTGAGCTCTTAGCCCGTGAGCCTGCTCCAGCGCTGGACGCCATGGGAATGCTGGGATGCATGGTAGCCATGCAGCAACAGTGCTCGCTTGTAACATGACACAAGCATCTGACTCCGCTGCTTGAACCCGAGAAGACTTGACAACCGAGAATTTACCAAATTGTAGCCGAGGAAGGGCCTCGAGAGCAATGTTGCAGGTTTTGCAAGTTCAGCGGACAGTGAGCCTGAGGCTGAAGCGCAGCGTAAGTTGCGCCAGCAAAGATGGCAACAGTGGAAACAATCATGGGCACACACGACGGGGTTCCAGCACGGCATCCCAACGACGTGCATGTTGGTGCCTGGGAATACGCGTCGCATTGCTACGTATAAGCCGAGAGCTGAAGACATGGCAGAAGTCGCTGACCGAAGGTCGCGAGCTGCACTGTACACTATGCCGCAAGCACAAGTCATTGACAGTCTTCTGCATGCAAGGCATCATCTTTGATGCTGGCAGTTTTCTGGGTGATGTGCTTGCAAACCCACACTTTGTCTCAGGCTCACCTTCGACACAGACAGCCTTCTGAAAACTGCGATGGAATGCCTGCCCTGGCATTTGCCCGGGATTGAATTAAATCGGAAGCCGTCTGTAGCAACGCACAAAGCGTGCCTACTTTGGTTTCTACAACGATCACAAATCTCATTGTGGAAAGATGACCAGTTTTGCCAAAGCTGCCACAATATTTATGCTGTAGCACCATGTAAGCACCCCAATCAGACATGCCGCTGAAGTCCGATTGAACATCGTTCCCCCAACCAAACGGAGATTTCAAGGTGTAGTGCAGAAGGTATGGTTGGGATGATCTGACTCTAAGCAGAAGTGCATGCGCGGAGCTGCGTCGTCAAAGCGGTAGGCGGCTTGAACTTGAACCATCGCCTGAGTTGCGACCACTGAGTCATTGACCAGCTACAATGAACTGCTAGAACCTTGCAGGTTTGGGTCCAAAACACATGCTTGAGTTGAACAGCGGGCTCTGCGCTTGGCGGGCGCATAACCTGACAGATTTAAACGTGTAGCAACAGCAGCAACAGCAGCAGCAGCAACAGCAAAGCAGCATCAGCAGCAGCAGCAGCAGCAGCAGCAACGGCAACACCAGCGGCAACAGCAGCGGCAGCAGCAACGGCTGCTTGGCACGAGGCTGGAAGACGCGATGACCCAAACATCCACATCCTTAACAAGCCATGAAACAAGGCAAAATGCGGGGACTCAACACGACTCTTGAACTCAGCACCTGGCACTGGGAAGCTCTCCCCAACATCGCTGCAAATTAGAGGATGCCTCCACAATGTCATCGCAAGGCCATGGTGAACACTAGTGTGTGCTTGAGGCACCCATTTTCTTCAGCACCCTTTGACCAACACTTCGTTGTTGATCGGAAAAAGTGCCGGGGGCCGATGTGCTTCGAGCAACTCGATTCCGTCACCACAACTGCAACAGGCCTCGCTGTCGAGAGACACACATGAAGACCTGTGATCAAAAACACCGACAAGTTTTGGAGAGTCACAACCTCACACTGTAAGAGGCAACGGGGCCGAAGCAAATTCAGTCGCAACTTCGACAGCGCCTCCGACGAGCAACAGATCCACACAGGGTGTTCAGAAAGCTGGACACTCACTGGTTGCACAAGTCTCACTACTGAGAACTTCACGGGCAAGTTTCGCAGATGTGCACCGAGCTGACCCAAGCTCCTGCCGAACCGCACAGCAAAGATTACGCACTGCTCGCCTTGGGGCACAATGGTCCTGAGAGAAACACAGCCGGCCAAGCAAAGCTCGAAGACCTCGAAGATGAATCTGAAAGTGTGTCGTCGCAGTGCGCACCAGTAGTGAACTAGTGATACGAAGAGGGTCTGCAGTCTATGTCAGCCTCCGTTTTCAAGAAGGATGGGCTCAGACCCCTGCTGAGATTTCCGTCAACGTCTTCAAAGGCCTCGACCGACCGCAGCTGGAAAAAAACACTATTGACGAAACTGTTGTTCGCAGAATCTATCTAGCAGCTATGGCCTCGTGAGTTCCTCAAGGGACGTGAGCATCGTGCAATCGGCAAAGCAGAGCTGCACGCTGGCCAGCGCCTGCGAATTTTGAGGGCATATCACCCCACACAATTACTTCCGATGAACAAAACACAAGTTCAGACCGAAATGACCCGTCCAGTCTGAGTAAGTGTGGCCTGCATTTCATCGGAAAGGAGGTCCACAGAGGCCAAGCCTCGGCGGCAGTCCCACGCAGACATAAACATTGACTTTTGATTTAAGTTGAGCTCTGAGATTGCAACTGCTACAAGCAGTTGTGTCTACCTTGTCGGGCGGAACCCAGTTTCGTGGACACGCAGACAACAGCCGAGATTTAAGATCGGCCCACTGCTGCAGCACACTCTTCCCCAACTTTCAGCACTCCGCCTTCAGCTCTCTCAAGACGTGTAGGCCCGGCAGGCAGCATCCGCCTGCTTCAATCAGGAATTTTCCTAGAGCACAGCTATCCCGTCTAGCCGATGCTTGGCAAGGCTGGGGGAGACGTGCGCCGGCTGAATGAAGACAATGTCATCAAGAATGCAACCGGCAGCAATGCAGTGCTGGCCCGGGCAATGAAGAGCTGCTGGGCAATTTTACAGAAACCAGTGTGGCCTCATAAAAACTTCACACATCCCTTCAATACAACCAGTGTCGTTCAGCGCCTGGGCACTCAGCGGAGCTGCTTCCACCTAGTGGCAGCTTGCACAGGTTCACCTCTATGCTTGCACTTTGCAGCTGCTGCTGCTCAAGCTGCATCTTTCCGGTGGGAGGTGGGTCCAGAACGTCCGCGCCTCCCAAATGCTGTAGGTCGCTGCACTCTGCAAACTTCAACTCGAGAGCCTCAGGCTTCAGAGCAAGCATGAGCAAGCCTGAGTTCCGCTGGGATCTTGAGCGGCCACCGGATGGAGCTTACGACACTGAGACCTAAAAAGAAAGCTCGAACGACTGCACTGAGATGTCAATGACATCCTGAGGCCGAGGGCAACGAGCTGTTTCCCGAGACTGCAGAGACTGCGGCAAAGGCTGTCTGCCTTAGCCACACTTGCCGTCACATTCCAAGAATCGCGTTGCCATCATCATCTGCCACTTTCTGGATTCTAAACCCAAAACGATCGATTTTACACGCTGTGATGGCACCTGCATGGCCAATATGCAAATGCTGGGCATGCTCTCGGGATTTACATGCAACCCAGCAGAATTAATCCCGATCTTGGCTGAGCTAGTGCCAGCCGCAGATCCGGAAAGCTGCTGTTAGGGCCTTGCTTCCAGCAGGCGCCTTGGAGAGGTTTTGGGACCAAGTTGGGGAACTAACCGACACGCTCACACCTGTTCGTCCATCACCCCGACATTCCATTAACGTGACATCCCAAACCCCCTAACTGCAATCGCTAGAATGAAGAGAATGCGACTTGCAAACCTTTGGCAGTCACCTCGACCACTCGGGCTCCTGTGAGACTTTTTTACAATTTTGACCGTGCTTTGCCAGGTCCAAACATCTTTACACATTCCACTCCAACCTTGTCTTTCTCAGTTGTACAGCCAGCTGGGTGCTCCCTGCAGCTGAGGCGATGCTGATCTGATGGATTCTTTGTTTGCAAAGCATCCCTGCATGGCAGCCATGTTGCGAATGGTCAGTAAGACTGCATGGATGACCAACGCTGATGCACCATACATAGCACCTGGGTAAAATGCTGCGCTGCTCAAGCTTTTTGCTCCGAAAGAAAGAATCGAAGTAAAATTGAAACACCCGTGTGGCCGTCTCGGCAGCGTGAAGGAACAACGAGCAAAGGCACCGAGAAGTGACACCACACGAGCATTGCCCGCCACAGCGGCAGAGATACTGCTTAACAAAGCAAAACGCCTTGATTCCAGGTCCTGCATGCTGACTTCGACTCGTTCTGCATAGTAAAACCAGCAGAGAACCTGAATCCTCAAAGGTTTACAAGTTTACCATGCCATGTTTTGCCGATTATCTTTCTTCACCTGTCAGTCTTCGTGTGTCGGAAGGCTTCACTTCTTGCACACAGCGAAACAGATTTGCATTCGAATCTGTCCAATCTTGCAAACGCGCCCTTCGAAGTTGTGTTATTCTTCTGGCATGGTCTGAATGAAGACATGTGATGGCCGTCCTGCCCCAGCTCATCCATGTGCTTGGTGGCACACTTCCACCCAATCTCACGACCAGCTACCACCTCAATTGCTCACCCAACAGCTTCCGACAGGAACCGCGAGTCCAAGGAGCCAGGTCTGCAACCAAGACACGAAGTGACCGCACGCAAAAAGAGCAAGCGGTGTCATGACAGCATGTCCAACGAGAGGCTGAACAAGGCCGTGGGAGATATCCTCTTTGCACAACTTGGCAGCATAGAAGATGGAATTAGGCAGCTTGGCCCAGATGGCCTCCTTTATCAGAAATCGTAAAATCCAGAAGCGGCCCAATAAAAGCTCTCCGCCGACCACAGGTCCCCAGTTCAGTGGTATTGGACAAGTCAGCCGATAAACAGCACGGAGCCAGGCTCTGAAGCCATGGTGAGGATTCTCAATAAGCGTGATGGGACTCAGTGGGCACATCCCTGACAGCGCGCGAACCAGTCGAATGGCCAGGCCCCACCCAATGCGGCCTGCCGATAGCCCCGCGGCCATACCTTTGTCAAAACTGCTTAGCTAAACATCTGTACAATGCCACATAACGGCAAGGCCGCCACTGCATGTTCTGCCCTCTTGGTAGGCTAACCTGTCCCCAGTAACTGTCACAACAAGATGCCCATGACAGTGCTGACATGCCGAATCTCTCGCGACTGTTCAGTCCTGGGTTCGTATTCCGGCAGCACCTGAGACCAAAACGAGCAAGAGGAGGTCTTTCTTCTCACGTTCGTGAGTGCTGTACGTTACCGTTACCCAGCCGACACCGACAGGACAGGCCCTCATGATGAGATGATAAACCGAAATGGCTACCTGCTCGACAGTTTGCAGTGGCAACTTTCTCGTGGATGGCTGGCTGAACTAAGAAGCACCTTACCTTGTCCGCGGTACAGGGGGCATTGCGCACCAGAAGGGCCGTTACCACATCTCATACCATAGCACAAAAGACCGCTTCCCGTGTATTGGAAAGCAGCAACTTCAAAACCATTTAACAAGCAGGATTTAAAAAAAAAAAATCTACTTACTTGTGTAGTGCCAGAAGACGGAACGCCAAGCAAAAGCCACCGAGTATGCCATTCGAAGACATCCGCGCAGGCAAAGCCCAGGGCCACAATTGCCCTGCGACTTTGCAGGACCCGAAATTCCAGCTGACGACAACACTCTGGGCTGCCTGCGCAAGGTCCCACGTGTCCGCCATGAAGTCGCGTGCCAGCTTTGCAGCACAAGGAGCCGCGGGTGCAGGAGTGGATGGCCAGCCATGCGGCACATAGCCTGCAATGGAGTGGTGTTGCCTCCTCTGACACATGCTCCACCCCGATAGTTAGCATCAAGCAGAAGCAACTTTACAAGGTGAGCTGCCTGGGTGGGATGCAAGAAACGCTTCCACTTCAGCCCGCACCACACGATTAGGATGCAGGGGCCCTGCAGACGGGGAGCAGTCCCAACTCAAGTCGCGAGATTGGGTATAAAGATAGCCCTAGGCCTGGGGAGTAACAAAACAGGGTCTATGGGCTAGTCTATGGGCCTAGACTGGTACAACTCCGGGATATGCCTTGTGCCAATGCGGAGGTCGGCCATGCCAAAAGCCCAAAATGACAACGGTTCCCAAATCCCTAAGGCCCTAAACCACACGAAACAAGTGATTGCCAACAGCACCAATCCAAGAGATGATGTCACAACAATGAGAAAATAAACAAGCAGAGCTTCGCATCTGATAGCAGTTGCAGCTGCAAAAGAACGCTTTAAGAATTTATGTAAGCTTCTCTCTTGCCGCAATTCAGCGAACACGCAGTTGTAGATTGTAGACAATGTGCAGCTAAGGAGAGCTACCGACAGTTTCAGGATCTGCCTGCGATTTCAGTATGAATTACTATGTTACTATGCTGGTTGCTTGCCACTACTTCGTCGCGCCCATTAGTTCATATTCAGCTACTATTCTACTCTTGCTAACTACCAATTCAACTACTGTGAAGCTACAACAGGCAGCCAGCCAGGTAAATGCCAGAAAAAATCGAACTAAACAGACCTCAACGACAGCCCAGTAGCCGAACAAGTACTTGCCTGCCTCTCGCTAGCTGCTAGCTAGCGGTAATTAGGACGTAGCTGCCGGGTTCATAAGCAAAACTGAGCTCTCAACTGTAAAGTAACTTTAAAGCGGAACTATACTCAAAACATGTTTACAGTTTGTCTGCTTCGCCAGTCAGCATACTTACACGATCCTATCCAAGACCATACCCAGGTCCTGAAAAAGGTCCTTCCTATGGTCGGAGCTTCCGCTTGCAAGATTGAGCAACATCCGAGGTCCGCTTGAGGCTAGCAGCAGCTTACTCCGAGGCACCCCCATCAGGCTCTGGCAGCGGTTGGTTGGTCAGCGGATCAACCAATCGATGTCGAATCGCTTTCTGGTACATGTCCTCAACGTCTCTGAGAGGCTGGGCATGTGCAGCACATTGCAACCATAGAAGCATGACTGGTTCCCTCTCTTGGTGACATGATATTTAGCTTGGAAGTCGTGTGAGAGGTCTGCAAAGCCAAGACGAAAGAGGACTCGAAGTGTGCAGCTAGGCTGCTTTCTCGTAGGTATTACCAACCATGTTGACAACGGGCTCCCGAAACCTGGGCAGGGGCCAACGAACATACGATTGCAAACATCAGCTAAAGACTCTCCCGGCAACTCTAGCCTATTACGGCAAGCTGCATGGATGCAGAGAGCGGGCATATGAGCCATTCCGGCTCTTCAAACGGGTTGCAAGAGCTTGTCGCCATTGCTCCAGCCATGCTCTTTAAAAGCCAATGCTACAGGGATTGCAGGAAAGGTGCAAGTCACGACGAGCAGCAGCAGCACCAGCAGCAGCAAATCGCAGCAACACCTCTGTGTGTCTTGTGCGAGGCTTGCCTTTTCCCTCAGCCAGCGCCGTCGCGAATGCTCGCCGTGCACATATTGATCTCGGAACGTTCGCCCAGTGTCTGCAGCACCTGGCTTCAGGAACAAGCTGACCGGATGACGATCATTAGTTCCAAAAGCCAAGTCTACAATCTTGTCCTTAGTGAACCGGTGTGACGGTCAGGTGCCTCTCGAAAGGGACGCAAATTTCCATCACCCCGCGGGTCAATGATTGCAAAGACGACAGTATCGAAAGCACCGCGAAAGTCAGGAGAAGCCAGCTGCTGGGCGAACAGCCTGGACAAACACGGCCCAGGCATGGAACACAACACCGGCCCAGAACTCGGCACACTATGCAACATGAAGTTGCCAATGTACTGAACACATTCCGAAAAGCTCTGCCACTTCCCGCGGAGGGTTTCCAAAAGCTCCGCAACCCCAGGCGCCGAGGACAAGATTGGCATGCCCGGACCGCTGACTTGGCCGGCAGAACGCACATCAACTGAGAAAACACCACCGTGACCTCCACTGGCATACTAACTGTGATGGAACTCTGGCCTAGGATGGCAATCAGGCAAGCATCATCATCATCATCATCATCATTATCACCATCATCCTGCACATTCGTGCGGATATGACGATTGTGCTTGCTGTGGTAATTGTTGCTCTTGACACGAATGCTCTGAGCAACACTTGCATTCTCCTTGATGCGCTGAGTACTACCGTATGTTTTACAAAAGCAGAAGCAGAAAAAGAAGCAAAAGCAGAAGCAAAGGCAAAAACGGGTGGCAATAGCAGCAGCAGCAGCAGCAGCAGCAGCAGGAGGAGGAGTTGGAGTGGTAGCTGTTTTCTGTTAGTTGGTAGTAGTTAAAGTACTTGTATTTAGTAGCTAGCAGCTAGTAGTTGGCAGTTAGTAATTGGTGAAGAGTAGCTAGTCGCTAGTAGTTTTTGTCACCCACTTGGCACGACGACGACAGCACTGCAGGGTCGCTAGTAGTTAGTAGGAGTAGTTCGTGGTCTGTAGTTGGTAACTAATACTGTGGTGCCGGCGATGGTGGCGGTGGTGGTTTCGGTCTGATTGGTAATGTTACTGCTACTTTGCTCTTAAGCTTCGCCACTACCACATCATGCCACATCTGGGTGATGCCAATTCCAACAAAGACATGACGGTTGCAATCGACCACGGTGCGCCGCATGAAGAACAGCACGAATTCTTGTCGTGACAGAGGAGGTGCATGCTTGTGTTCGCGGCATGGGGCATCCTTGGATTCCTGCCGCGAGCAACTGAAGTTGAATTTCGAACCGTGGTGTATAGGCAGCCAGGGTTTGTACAAAATTGATGAGAGTGCTAACATTGCAGTCGCAGGCAAGGAGCCGTTGGGCATCGCAGCAGTGATTACAGAGCAGGTTCCCAAAGAACCCCTCAGGTTGTAGCTGCCGGGCTCTCCTGGAACACCCATTTGTTTAAGATCGAGACAGCCTCAACATCACTTTGCGGCATGATGCTTGGCAACCTCGAGGCTGCGTGCAGCTCTGGCACGAACTGCCAGCAGGTCACGCGTGAGAAGCACGGCCTTGCGCAAGCAGCACATTCTAGGTCTGAGCTGATCAACGAAGCGTGGCATGCTAGTGTTCAATCTCCGTAATTGCCTGAGTGCTTGCGCTCCCTGAGTGCTTACCTTTCAACCTGCCAGCTCGTGATCTCTGGAGCATCAACACTTTCACTTTAGACCATTGGCTGCGACCTGCTGTATGACCCACTCGTGCATACTCACGCTCACTTTGAGCAACATCCGACCATATCACACGCCACGAAAGAATGCTCTTGCGCACACGGATGCACAAGACCCTTGCAGAAGCGGCCACAAGACTTCAAGCCGTTGTAGAGCTGTCCCCACAGCATGTAGCAAGAAGGCAAAGAAGCAGGAGATAAGCGAAACTGCACATGACAGAGAGATCATTCATGCAGCGTGCTGAAGCGAAGCATAAAGACGCGACAGACAGACGAGGGACGAGCATGGGAGAACAGTCAGCGACTACAAGAGAAGGAGAGGTGCGCGAGCGGCAATTCTGCAGCCTTCCCAGTTCCCATGTAAATTTTCCATCCATCTTACTGAAATCCTCGTGCTGTCAAGGTGCATCCGGCTTCAAGGGGTACAGACCCTGCACGGAAAAGGATTCTCGTGCCCTTCATGACGGCTCTTTAGCATCAGCTACAAGTCACGTGTGGTTTTTGCAGATCCAGTCTCGGCCAGCCTGTTCCTGGGCATCCACCAGGGCCGGGTGCAGCTGTGGCAGCAATCGGCACAGGTCCTCTTCCTTCTCTCAGTTCTACGCATGGTCTCAAAATACAAACAAACTCCAAACAGGTACACATATCGGGAAACCCGGTTTGTAATCTGACAGTTCCCATGCTCTCTCAAATAGTGGATCAGGGATACCCCCGAACAGCTCTACATGGAAATTACACCTTTGCTTTCAAAAGCAATTTAAGAAAGCGGTGCAAAACATCCGTCAAGGCCGCTTGTGCGCGAGCTCCATGCAAGTAGCCCCCTCCTCATTGCTGGCGAGGCGGACATGATACGCGCTTGTGGCATTGCACACTCATTGCAACTGTAGTCCTGGATGTACCGCATTTGCAAAGTTCAGAGCACATGCGTTGTTCAGTGCCAGGGAAGCTGTGACAGTGTCGACGTTCGCGACTGCGAGCTTCGTTTCCGGAAACCGCTGCCATGCCTCGCTTGACTGATGCGCGAGGACTCTGACAATAGGTCATGCTGACCCGAAAAAAATGTGCACGTACATCCATGTGCTCGCCAACCTTCGGGGTGCAAAGGCACACCTCTTCGGTAGGAAGACGTGGCAGTGCCTGTCTGCCTGACGAAAAAGACATCGCTTCATAGCTGCCATGTGCGGCACAAGTCCATGGTGCTCAGAGGTTGGAGGAGACAGCACAATATGGACGCTGTCGCCTCCGTCATGGAATCCGAATCCTCCCGACTTCATTAAGCGAGCATTTTCCAGTGGCAATGACGAATACTGTTCGTCAGGAGCACGTGGTCTGTAGGCTTTGTTCTCCAATTGACGAACGATGTCAGGAGACCAAACGTATTGATGTTGCATGGGGTCTTCCCACAAGGCAACTTGCCCAATCACAGCACCATGGTGTTGACAAGGTCTGCACTGATGCGTAAATGCCTTACTGATGCTAGTTCATGGTGCTACTTCATGCCATCTCTTGCTATGACAGTAGTTCGAGGCTTGAGCCGAAACGGCAGGATGTACGAGCGACAGCTTGGTCAACGTGCTGAAATTCCGCGCCATGTGCCTGTCCACTTGCTTTCGAAACCCGAGCACCGGCAAGCGCAGCTTGAGTGAGCTTCCCTGGGAGCCCAGCCGAAAGAAGTGATGGACAGCCGCTAAATCCCAAACGGAGGCTGGTCAGTGCACGAAGTGCTGAAATCCCCTGTCGCTTCCATCAGGAGAACATAGCCGTTTGGATGGAGCTGAACACCCGGCCTTTTATTCCGGACAGTTGTGCACTACTTGCAAACACGGACCTCCCAGCAGACTTGACAAGGTTTCGTGGGCCTGCCCGAAAGGGCGTGCTTCCGCAAGCTTGGGACTGCCACATCTGGGCGAACAGGAAAGTATGCTCAAGCAAACGCAAAGCACCATCACCATACATGTGCTGGGACTCGGGCATCTGCAGGTCCAGCATACTGAGCTGATGCAGAAAAGGCACCCCTGGAAGTCAAGGCTTGAGCAGTTCAATGCGTGTGTATGCGCTGGGTCCACTGCACACTCTATCAACGACTGTAATCATATAAATTAATCCGTTACAAGCTAATTGCCGAAAGCACCGGGAAACTGAAAACGCTCGGGGAGGCTTGCAAGCCCTGAGGAGCTCGAATGCTGAGTTGCGCGGATTAAGGCTGGCAACTCTGTTTGGGCTTCACTTGCAGATACTGCATCCCGAACAGCTGCTCCCATCGCCTGTACATCTCGCACTCCTACCACTGGACAAGTTGGAAGAGAAGTAATTGCCAACCCAATATTCACTCCATTTTCAAGTCAACCGGTGGGCACAGGGTGTTGAAGTTGTTTGCTTGTCCTTTGTTCCATTTCGCATCGCGCATCATGATTAAATCATAGGTTTCGACATACCCACCGGTCGTCAGGATTTCGACTGCGCAAACCCGTTAGCATGCATGCTTACTCAGGGAAGGTTTCCGAATACGAATGCACCCTCGACACCAAAGCCAACTGACGCAACTCGGAAGCTGTGACAAAACCGACCGCATGCTGGAGCAAAAGGTAGTGTCCACATAGCGATAGCGAGACGGTCTTCTGATTTGGTCAGCTGTGTGAAACAGCGAGATATGCCGTCATCTGCAGTGTCCGCCTGTCATCGTGGAGCCGTCGACGAGGTAGTGCACGAAGAGCTTTGTCTGCATGGGTTTCGATGAAGTCCGTGCGGCAGTTGTGCATCGACACAGGCATCACCCCACTAGACCCAAGATGAGCTCGCCAAGGGAGCTTCGTCACAAAGCCCCATCAAGTCGTCCCAACGAAAAGCGCATCCGGCCTGGAAGCCACAGTCAACAGTCGAGTAGCGGCTTCCTGCTACAGTAACGACACGTTACAGGCTCGTTGCCAAGAATCCATCTCGCCGAAAGCGAACCTTTCCTTGTGTATCGTGCCGGCAGGCCGAGAATGCAATAATTTGGCGATAAACTGCAGATGTAGATGTGATGAAGCTACACTGACCTATGCTCACACATAAAGTCTAGCGTCTTTTGAAGATGGACACATAGACACCGCTGTCCAGAGTCCGAGGAAAATTCCCAGTAGCATTCCTCTGCCTCCACATCGCAACCAGGCCGTCCAGCCAACAGGGTTGCCTCAGCTCCGGCTTTGTTCTGCTGCCATCGGCTGCCTAACACATAAATTTCAACTTCCACTCGATATCTTCTGACCAGTTTCTCCACACACTGCTATGCAGATATAGGCTTCTTGAAACACATAGCTGACATCCTTGGTCTCAACATCATCCGCCACAGGAACCATCACCAGCACCTCAGCCCCATTGCCTCGGCAGCCACATGCGCCCCGGACGAACACCCTCAGGCGCTCATCAAACATAGCTAGATGCAACACGCACAACGTCCTTGGAAACAAGATGCGTTTCCACCAGTACCTTCCATCTGGACTCGCACCACCAGAACCCACGTCTTCTCGTCCATAACCTGGAACGGGATCCTGAACATGTCGCATGTCACGGCGCCGGCTACAGAGGCATTAGAGCATGTCGAACACGAGATTCCGCACTCAATGCACAGCATCATCCGCAACCTGCCTGTGCAGTCGCTGAATTTGCTGGAGCCTTGATCACGTCCAAAAGACGGATGTCGAATGTGACCGGAGTATCTGGCGGCACCTGCCATCCCCTTTCATCACGTGCACCAAAGGAGCCGTACGCCACTTCCGATGACAGCTGAAAAATGGCACGCCTCAGCTGGGTGGAAGATCCGGAATGTACAAAGCTGAAATCCGTCTCCGCAGCATCAGCAAAACCACTTCCAAAGCACTCACCCTTTCGCATCGTCGCGACGCCTTCGTCGAAGCCTCTCGATGAAGAAGACTAAAGAAGTATCTTATCACAAGGAACGTACGTGTTGGCCCTGCTTTCAAGAGGCCTTCCAAAACATGCTCTGCTCCCAGTCGAAACTTGAAAGGCTGATCACGCTTCGTTGTGTCGTTGAAAATGCTTCCATCTGGCAGAGTGCCCACGAAGTGCGTCACACAATCGTCTCCAAAGACCGGAAATACTGCCGGGTCCATGCCCTCCTCTACAATGCTCTTCATGACACTTCCATCTCCGAGAATGTCGCCTGAGTCAAAGCTTGTGCTGATGTCTTTGAGTTCTTGTCCAGAAGAGACCATGTCGTTCTCGTCTTTCACTGCTTTGTACACATGCCTGAAGAAGCCCTTCGATCTGCCCTTCCTGTGCACAGCTAGCATGGTAGCCTGTAGTGGCAGAAGCTTTGACACATGAAACGTCTGGAAATCTTGGCCTGGTCAGGAAGATCCCGATGAATGCAGCACGCATGCTGCTCGGAGGCTCCTCGCACCTCGGCCGTCTTCCAAAGTCCTTGAACAGCGTGCCGAAGGCATCCAAGCCATGTGGAGACACGCAGTGAGACACGCTGCATGGCGGTGCCACAGGCGGGGCAGTTGCAGCTTTGAACGGATGGCTCTCCATTGCTAGGGAGCCTTCCTGAGCCGACATCTGGGCGAACATCAAGTGACAGAATCCNNCCCCCCCCCCCCCCCCCCCCGCACTCCGCACTTCACTGATTCAGCCGGCCGGCCTTGTTGCAAGTCTTCTGCGGTGCTCGTTTTGGTGCATCCTGCCAGACAAACCTGAAAAAGCTCGTCAAAACTTCGAAACACTGCCACCCGGTGCTGGTTGCAAGATTGCATGTTCTTCGAGCCAGACTGTCGTGTCCGGGCGCCGGGCTCTCAGCGACTTGATTGTGCGAAGACATTCCACGCCTTTCAACCAGCCATCAACACCGACTTGACTGGTTCTTCGGGTATTTCGAGTAAACTGAGGTGCAGACTTGAACACCTGTCGACGAGCATCTCGCGACATTCATGCCACCCTGCTGTCATAGCGAGTGGCATCGCAGGGCTCGGAAAAAATCCGCAGGGCCAGCATCCGATCGCCAGCTTGAGGTGCCGGCGTGTCGAGAAGGCGAAGGACCAGAAAGCGTCCCCTGCCCCCAGCCTCGGTGGCGGGTAGCGGAGACGGCACAACGCGAATCAATGATGTGTTTCGAAGAGATGCGATGCAGGAAGGCAGCGTTCCGTGCTTCATTGTCCGACGCACGAAATCCACGAAGGGCTCGTGCCAAGTGTGCCCAACCTCGGCTACGGTTTTGAGCCAATGGTGTGCCACTGGTTTTGGAAGGTCAAAGGTCAGTAGTGAGTTGGGCATGATCATCAACCTGCATTCCCTACAAGCACTCAGATCATCACAAACCACGCAGGTAGCTGCCCGTACTCCTTCACATATTCTGCAAGGAGTTCCAAGCCCATACGTCCCGCCTGCCGCCCGTGAGTGCGACCGATTATCAGTCACGTCTTGACAGCACACGACAGCACGATTGTCTCCCCAAGCAAAATAGATCTTGCTTCACTGCATCGGGCGAATCAGCATGCCGGGCAACAGGTCCTCCTTCGCCACAGCTTCCACATAGCCTGATTTCGCTTGGGTTTCGAGCTTCGACCTATGAGCGCCCTGAAACATTCACTGGAAAAACGACATTTAATTCCAAGCTCTGCTCTGCACTGCATCCTTGTGGTCACCTGCGATACACATATGAACATCCACCAACATGTTGCCAAGCTGATGTGCTGAGACGCTGGGCTGCCAACTGGCTCAATCAACCAGTGGTGGAGTTGGGCCAATGTTAGCTTCCTTCCATGAAGTCCGTCATGTGACAAAGAACCCATTCATAGGTGCACCACTCACAAATCAGTGCCGATCCTGTATTCGAGTTGTTCGCCAGTCCTGAAGGCACAATACCACAGCTATACTTGACGTGCTACCCTCTGAACACACACCGTCCAGCATGCCTGCTGTCGTACCACCCTCTGATTACACCGTTGCCATCGCAGCCTGACATGCCCGCAATGCGTGGACATGCATGCCGTTCCCCAAAAGGTCCAGCACTCAACCACTACCCTCTTGGAAGCGGGCGCTTCTTGACAAAAACCTTGGCAAAGAAATATGCTGGGTTCCCTTTTTCCACTACCACTCACCGAAAAGGCCAACTGGGCGACAAGACAACTGCAGACAGATAGATGTAGAGACAGGGATCACACTCGAGCGTTGACTTGGACGAACAAGGGAGACGAGACACAGAGAGCAGTGAGAGAGAAAAAGAGAAGGAGAGAGAGCGAGAGAGAGAGAGAGAGAACAAAGATAGAGAGCGACAGAGAAAGAGCGAGAGTGAGTTGCGCTCGTGCTCCTCTCTTCGTGCTTTCCCGTCTCAGCGGAGAGAGAACTCTCCTCCACTGAGACGCAGGACAACAGACTAAGATAGATTGGGGCGGCAGTCTTTCTTGGCAGCACCTCCAGGAGTAGACGAGGCGACAAAGCGACAAGACAACATGAGAACAAAGGGAATGACATGCAAAGGACATTTCTCTCGGGTGAAGATGGGTGGAGGATTTCCTCCCCCCACGTGAAGAATGCGGTCCGTCTCCACTCGTTTCAGCGGCCTCATGTATTTTCGGTTTTCTCTTCTTTTCGACATCTGTTTTGCCAACATGTTGTTTCCGCTGCAAAAAGAACATGGATAAGCCCATCAGGCAACCAAGAACACGGCTCGCTTGACTCTCGGTGCAGCGCGGCAGCATGGCAAGGGAGAGCTCTAAAATGTCGCTGCATTGACTTCAACACAGCACAAAGATAAGACGACAGCACAACAAAACATGACATGATGTTGGCCGTTACCATGTCTTCGCAAAACTCTCGTCTTCGTGGCACAACATCGTGGCTTCACGGCTGAGCTGTCCAAACCAATTTGGCGCAAGGCTGCCACGCAAAACACAACATCGGCGTGCGCCGCTATCCACGCTGTTTGCTTTTATTTCTTGCCCAAAAACATTTGAGGACATGCTGTTCTTGAAACCCCTACAACTTTCCTCTTGTTGTTTGCATCGGGGTTGTCGTAGTGTCGCAGATCTGTTCTGCACGGCAATATCGGGCGAATCATACAATGCATAGGCACACACACACACATGTAGGTGTGGGCCCACACGCGAACGTTGAACAACTCCCACTCAGCTGCGAGCTAGAATCTTCTTGAGCTGGTCAAAGGTGATTCCGCGCTTTTCTATTTTGCCAATCCTGCACAGCGCGAGTCATGGATATCTCATCACCACACTTAATGTGGCTGCCTGATGCCGGGTCCACTGCGGGTCAGCTCAGAAAAGTCAAGGTCTCGAGGCCTGCACTTGCTGGCTGCAAGTTCCACCTGTGTGACACTATCGTGCCTCAATCTTCCAAGGCTCGACCATTCTTCCACCGCGTGGCCTTCGAGAATTGCAACTGCCATGGCCAAACAGAGCCAGTCTAGGTGCTCAGGCCTCGCACAGGACGCGGTCTGACGAGAGGGCTAAAGCTTATTTCCTCTTCGTCTTCCTGCCGCAATGTTGTTGCTGAATGCCAAACTGCACCAGATTTGTGATGCCGCACTGCTTCCGCAAAAAATGTCTGTCCGGCCTCTCCTGCCTCGTTCATCGCCCAATTTGCCTCTGGCAGCTTCCTGTCCATATAAGCCAAAGCAAGTATTGTATCAAGGCAACAAGCTCTGAGGCACGAACGAAACTTGATAGCCAACCTTGCGTGCAGCGCGGAAGCCAACAAAGCAGTCAAGGGTTTCACAGAGTCTTAAGGGGGCGTCATCGTCGTCCACACAACGACCTCGTCGAAAGAGGACGCCGTCAAAGTGCAACACAACTTGTACTTACGAGGATCAAGCAACAGCATCCGAAGTCAGCTAACAGGTCCTGACTCTGGAGTGGACTTTTGCTGGTTGGTGATCCTATCGATGACTTCAATCCCACAGTACAGCATCTTGTCCTGCTGCGGGCCGGCCATGGCCCAAGCCACATGGGGTGAAGCGGGACACAAAGCGGACACACTTTGCTAAATCCGTCGGCTGCTGCACGTGTGCAGTTGCCGCATGCTTTTGAGGCTGCGAGCGAGATGTTCAACTTGAACTTGAGACCGGGACAATTCACTTGCAAGGCTTCTTGACATTCTTGCCGTCAGCTGCCGGCACTGCAGCCCATTGTTTGGTTCCAAAAGCACTTTTTTCTCCAATGCACCACACCACGATGCTCGCAACCAAACGACGAAGTCCTCCGGACGCTTCAGTTGCGAGACTGCGACTGATGTAAACATGTCGAGACATGAAGTCATGGCACATCTGCTTGTTGTCGGTTGCACTGCGGGAATACTGAGGCAAGCCTGCAAGCACCGTTACGGGTGAAACATACTGTGAGCTTCGTCACACGTGAAACATTTCACAAACTTCGACGGCGGAAGCAACCTCAAGCACAGTTGAAGTCAACTTGCCGCCACAACGCACAGAAGGTACAGATTGAGTTCCAGGCAAAAACCACGTTTTTGGTTTTGTGGGGAAAGCGGTGGGTTTGCTGGCCCAGCTTTGCCGGCGGCAGATATGACCTGGTTCAAACAAAAAAGGGCCCGGTGCACACAAGCCACATACAAAAATCCTTGTACAGCTTGCAAATCTCAGTGCTCAGCTCCTCGTCCTTCTTTTTGAGCAGCCTGCAAAACATGGAAGAACGACCTCTAAAAAAATTCATGCATTGCATCCACAAGCCTTTTGCGATCTCCAACTTTGTTGTGTCGCAGCTGCAGTGGTGCCTCAAGTATTCGATGTCGACGTATCGGGTTCTTTGTCTGCAGCTTTGCAAGGAGCTTTGTGCCGAACTCGTAGTGGCCGCTGCTGGTGACGGTGACCGGGCTTTGGTTTTGACTGCTGGCGACGGCGGCACATCCTTCGAGAAGTATTGTAGCAGTTTAATGCATGATGCCCGGGATGCACATGACAATCTAGCGCTGCTGATGCTACGGAGTAATCGCGCTGTGATGTACATCCGTGGTAAGTCTCCTCACAGAAAATTTTATATTCGTCCAATACATGGTGTGTGGCATGGGTGGTACAGACTGAAGGCATGCGGGAGTTCCAAATTTGAGTGGTGTCCAGTGTCCAGCAAACGGCCGCAACTCGCCATTTCACGTTCCCTTTCCAATTCTGCAGGAGTAGAGGAGGAGTAGGAGTTGGAGTTGGAGTTGGAGTTGGAGTTGGAGTTGGAGTTGGAGTTGGAGTTGGAGTAGGAGTAGGAGTAGGAGTAGGAGTAGGAGTAGGAGTAGGAGTAGGAGTAGGAGTAGGAGTA